TCCTTCAGTAAAGCATTGATCTCGTCCGCATTCCACAGATGGTGGTAGATCTTCCCTTCCTTGGTCTTTCCCACCGTTGCGAATTCGACTGGGTAGATAAGGACATCAGTCAGCCAACGATGCGGGAATAGATTAAGCATATTGAAAGCGATACGTCATGAACTGAACAGGATAAAATCATTGCGGGTCACTTACTCTTTTCACTGCTCAGCTTTGTCGAGTCCATTGTCTTGCTTAAGACCTTGACGGCCATGGCACACGCTTCCTTCAGGTCACAGTCCTCCTTGTAATCTTGCTTGAGCAGACTTTGAGCGCTCGCGTTATTTGCTCCCACACTAGTGGCCTTCCAACCACCGTAGTTCCCGCTGGGGTTGCTCTGGTACAGTTGGAATTCTCTCAGAGGATCGTAACCAGCGTAGATGAACGAGACACCGAAGGGACGGAGACCACCGTGCTGGGTGTATCCTTGTTTCAGGTCACACAATCGACGAACAAGTTGCTCACAGGGAATTTCTTCGCCGTAAGTGAGGAGGTAGCGTTGAGCGGCTTGTCGGGCATAGTTGATGAGAATATTGGCGTCTGCAGTCATACCGGCAACTGCGCAGATCATATTACTAGTAATCAATCAGTATCGGGGTACAGATGCCGAGAAACGTTCTCTCAGTTCCAGGGACTTGCATACTCGTTCAATGTGTAGAGCTTCTCTGCAGATGTGTCCTGCTCTAGTAGCTTGCTGGTCACCTTTTTCTCCGCAGCAAGGACGATTCCATCCTTCGCCAAGATCCCTAGAGCTGTACCAGCATGTGAAATAGCTTCGAGCGCATACTCCACTTGATAAAGTCGACCTTCGGGGGAGAAGATGGTTGTCTACATGGGCATAAATGGGTTAGCTGGAGCAAGTGACGGAATGACGGAATGACGGAATGGTCGTACCCTGGAATCATATCTCCGTGACATTTTGCAGTATGTCTAGAGACTATGACAATGAGAGAAAATCAGAAGATAGATGAAGTAGATAGAGCGGGAGAGTGCTGTGGGAAGGGTATGGAGCTGCGATGTACCTAAGCTATGTGAGCGGGCAAGGTGAGCTCCAAGTGACCAGGCAACTCGCCCTGGCGCGTCCTGCCGGTCCGCTGCCAAGCTCGGACCACTTCTAGATTTCCCGGCGCAGACGAAGCTCTATCGACTGGCAAACCCATTTCAGATCTCTTATGAAATTTTACAATTAGCACATTCTACGCCTTACGAGTATGTCTTTCTGATACCGGCAATTGACAGTCTCCTACACAGCTTTATCGTGGCCCAGACAGTAGTGGACAAAATGCTCAAATCTACCTACACTCCCCCTCCTCCATTACCACCGGGGTGGACAGAACATAGAGCTCCTTCAGGTTATTTTCCTTATTGCAATCTTTAGAGCTCAAGCCACTGACTGCAAGATAGGACATCTCTATTACTACAACGCAGAGACGAAGCAATCTACATACACAAGACCGCAGCCGCTTCCTGTTCAGTCGCAACCCGCCGCGCCCGCCCAAGTTCCCTTCGTTACACCAGACACTCTTCCCCCGTTCTCTTCCACGCCGTATGCGCCCGAAGGATTTGCCTTCGGCGACCAGGCCCGTGGGCTTCCTCATCATGGTCATTCTAGGGGTGGGTTTCGAGGTGGAAAAGGATTCCGCAACCGCAACAATCGAGGGCCCGAGGATAGGCCGAAATCGAAACACGCGATACCGGGGTGCGAGCCGTGGGTGCTTGTGAAGACGAGACTGGGGAGAAGATTCGTTCACAACCCTGAAACGAACGAAAGTTTCTGGAAATTTCCTCCCGCAGTAATGAAAGGAGTGGTGGAGTATGATCGTTTGGAAAGAGAGGAGAGGGAACAGAAGGCTCGTTCCGAAGAAGCTGAGGAATCCAGAGAAAAAGGGAAGGAAATATTGGACGAAGTTCGCCCTTCCCAGGAACCTGGTAGCGTACGGGATTCTGGTACAGCCGCACATGCGATGGAAGACAGCGATGAGTACGAAGAAGTTGAAGTGACTGATAGCGAGGACGAGGATGATCAACCCTCGAAACGGCCGAAGACCGAAGATACCAACGACCAACAGCAACCTTTAGAATTCACTGAAGAAGATATCGAGTATCAGCTCGCAGCAATGGGAGAAGAATACGGTCTGGATCCGGGAGAATACGGCGAACCTGATGAGGAAGGCTGGGAGGAGGGCGCAGAAGGGTTGCCACTTACCGAGGAAGATGCTACAGCGCTTTTCCGTGACCTTCTCGACGACTACCACATAAATCCATATTCAACGTGGGAGAAGATCATCGAAGAAGGCCGCATAATAGAGGACAGCCGCTACACTGTTTTGCCAAACATGAAGGCACGCCGAGAGGCCTGGTCTAGTTGGAGTCGTGATCGTATACAGCAGCTGAAAGAGCAGAAAGAGAAGCAGGAAAAGAAGGATCCTCGTATTCGCTATCTCGCTTTCCTCCAGGAGCACGCTACTCCCAAGCTCTACTGGCCTGAATTCAAACGCAAGTACAGGAAAGAGCCCGAGATGAAGGATTCACAACTATCAGACAAAGACCGTGAGAAACTCTATCGAGACTTGATCTCGCGATTAAGGCTACCTGAAAGCACCCGAAAGTCTGATTTCTCGGCCTTGCTGAAATCAGTACCATTACAAGAGCTCAACCGATCATCGAATCTAGAAGCTCTTCCTTCATCAATTATCACCGACCTGAGATATATCTCATTGCCGCCTAAAGTGCGCAATCCATTACTCGAGGCTTATATCTCTACTTTGCCACCGCCGCCTGAGCAAGATATGACTGCAGATCAGCTGGAGGCACTAAACAGGAATAGACTGGAGCGTGAAAAACGCGAAAGGGCTCTAGCTGAACGGGAGAGACGAGTTCAGGAGGAGAAAAGAAGGCAACAAAGCGATCTTGTCCGCGGGAGGCACCTCCTAAGAGAAGGTGAGGCGGAGATCCAGGAAGCTATGAGAGTTAGAAAGGAAGGTATCAGGAGCTACCTGGAAGCCGAAAACCAAGACTCGGTGAAAGTATCTCAGGAGAAGAGCCCTGAAGTTTCTTGACATGAGATGTGCTTCGGTGATGATCTACTCGGTGTTTAACTATAATCAAAATCGAATTTCCATGAAGACTCAAGGCAGATAGATACTAGTTCCAAATCTGGCCGATTTCTTCATTCTTCAACACGGCCGTGGAGATCCGGCTGAAGCCACAACAAGTGACAGGGGTATCTCCTGTTCGAGTTGTCTGCATTATTACCTGTAGAGCCAGTAAAACAACATTTTTTAAGCCACCCATCGACAGAGATGGCACAGAGGAAAGGATCATAAGTCATTGTAGAGTATCCATATAGCTCATGGCTCGATGTATGGGGTATCAATGTAAATGTGAAGAGTTCAGACCTCCCTTTATGAAATGGCGCCGTTCCCAAAACCACTGCTGATCTCAATTTCATCATTACCTGAATCTCCAGTTGTCCCAGTCATCATCATCCACATCATCGTCGTCATCATCATCATCATTTTCTTCTTCGTCGCTTTGTTTAGTCTCATCAATCTGCTGTTCCCCTTGTGTTTTCCCGGACGAGGATCCTTCTGTCTGAGGGATCTCTGAAGCTTCCTTGGCTCGTTTCTGTCTCAGTTCTTCCCTCTTATGCTTCAACCGCCTGATCCGTTCTTCAAGCTGCTCCATTTCATCAAATTCATCCTCCAAGAACCGAGCCGCGTCTTCTCGTTCCCCTTCGATTTCAGCTTCACGTGCTTGTATTGACGTTCCCTTTTCTGCCTCTTGCTGGGCAGCCAGTTGCTCGGCCGACACGGGTGCAGCCGATATCGTCGCTGCTGCTGCAACCGCAGCAGGTGCCTGGGGCACACGTGTTGGCGCCACCACGTCACGCTCAAATGCTGCCCATTCGTCCTCATCGATAGCTTGAGGTGTATTCGATTCGAGGAACGGCTCAGGCTGTGCCTGGGTCTGCTCTTGGGAGGCTTTCGAGTCCGGCGGAAGTTCCAGGCCAGCAGTTTCTTGTTCTCGTCGTTCAGCATCCTCCACTTCATCGATCGCCTGGGCGCTCGGTGGCTGCACAGTATGTACTGTCGGTGACAGGGAATCTGCGCTTTTCTCGCCAGGCCTCATCTTCTTTCGCGTCAAGTCATCCGTGATATCGACCTTCCGCTTCTTGGTAACTCGATTGCCGGTACTTCCTGCTTGCGGTGCGCCCTTCCGAGCAGCAAGCTCACTTCGAAGTAACGAGCGAACATCTGCCATCCCAGTAGATAGACTAACAGGTGAAAAGTGAGTGCAATAGATTTCTGAGAGTACTTCAGTAAGCTCAACAAAGTTTGGGAAGAAAGCGGGTGTGGGGATCTGGAGAAGCTTTCACGACATCGAAACTACTTTACGCGACGGAAAGCGACTGGCGTCTGCCAAGACCTCCCACCGAGCCTCAGTCACGTGTCTGATTACTCACTACAAGTAGCACGACATCTCCTCTCCTTCATTCCTTCCCTCAACCCACTCTCTCATCGCAATTTCATCCTTAGCCGTTTACTCAACGCCGAATTTTATACGAACTACTGTCGCGACCAGCCATATTTTAGGTTGCCATCAGATCCACCGGTTCCAAGGAAACGCTACGTGCAGGACGATACTCACGCGACTCCTCACGCTAGAACTCGGCGCGACAGAAGCCTCCAAGGCGCGCACCCAGCTTGCTGCTACAATTGGGTTCGCACGCGTTCTTCGGTAAATAAAGCAGGGACAGTCTTTTGGAGGATTGAGTAATACCTGTGTGGGCCGGGCAACAGCGCCACTGTCCAGTCTTTTCCCCTGCGTATTACTTTAGCCCCTCGGATGCCGTAGAAAGCCAGCTGTTGGGTGGCCTGCACGACTTGTCATTGGAATAACACCTATCCTACCACGTGCTGTAGATATTCAGAGAAACTTTGCCATATCACATGCCCATCATGACTGGTAAGCCTATAGTGCTTCTTTTGTGAGCGTGGCGTCACCTCAACTGGAGTTGTGGCGACTGGATGCGACCCCGAACCGTGACCGAATAGCTCGCTAACTGCTGAGATTAGAAGAACCGCGACGCTCTGGACGCTCTACGAAAGGCCAACACAAAAATCTGGATATGGTAACCGAGACACCTGCGAAGAAATCGAAAGCGAAAGCTCAATCGAAGGATAAATTTGAAAAGCCCCCGAAACCCTCCGTCGAGCCGACGCCTGCCGTCAGTGAAGAAGAAGAAATCATTAGATGTATTTGCGGGGAATATGAAGAGGAGGAAGACATTGAACGAGATATGATCTGCTGTGACCAGTGCTCCGCCTGGCAACACAATGACTGCATGGGCCTCACATTTGCGAAAGGCGAGGAGCCCGACGAATACTTCTGTGAACTATGCCGACCTGAGAATCATAAAGTTCTCTTGGACAAGATTGCGCGTGGTGAGAAGCCTTGGGAGGAAGCAGCCGAAAAGAGACGCCAGCAGGCAGAAGAAAAGAAGGCCGCACGTCGCAGGAAAGGCAGGAAAGGTGGTAGAAAGGGCCGGCCAAGCGAGCCCAAACCGGATACCGGCACCCCAGCCCGCAATAAAGCGGCTTCTGCCACGCCCGCTCAGACTCCTGTTCCACTGGCCCCTCCGCCCGTTGTGACCCCCGTCCCGGAGAAGAACGGTGACGTTCCAGATGCTCGCCCAGCGAGCACTCAGAAGAGGAAATTCGAGGTACATCAAGAGGAGGCTGCGACGCCCGATACAGTAAGATTTGACTATTACTGCTTGGAAATAGTGACAGCTGCTAATGTCTACCAGCAGGGACCAAAACCCAAGCAAATAAAGATGGCCTCGCCAGCTGATTCAGTGACTCCTCTCAACGAAAAGCCTGCTCCGGCGAAGGAAGATTCGAATGCTCCTCCTTCGCGCCAAAGCTCCGTTTCTGAAAAAACTGCGACGCAGGAACCGGGAACTTTGGACGAGATCTCAAACCCAGCGAGAAGAAGTGCTGCCAGTGCTCTAGTCAAGTTATTTGTAGATCAAATTTCTGATGCACAGAAGCAAGGGTCTTTCAAATTACCTGAGGGAAGATCGGCGAAAGAGATAGCGCAGCAGCTCGGTTTTTCAATCGAGAAGGCTATGTATCAGAATATTTGCGGAGGATCTGGAGAACCCACTGAACCATATAAATTGCAACTGCGGACGATCTTGTTCAACGTAAAGAAGAATCCTTCTCTACGGGATCGCCTGCTCGTAGGTAGTTTGCTTCCAGAAGCGCTCTCTAAGATGAGCAGTCAGGATATGGCAAGTGAGGAGCTTCAGCAGAAGGATGCTGAAATCAAGCGCGAGGCCGAGAGGCAGCACATCATCGTGGAGGAGCAAGGTCCGCGAATAAGGCGAACTCATAAAGGCGAAGAGTTCATTGAAGATGAGAATCAAACCGTCGCCAGCGAGCCAGTGTTTTCGGTAGCGCCGACCCGCCGAAGCGTGGCTGATGTTGACGCAAGCCCTTCAGATCAAAGTCCAGCGAGTCCCCAGGCTCATCAGCAGCCGGATGACAGTGCGCCAAGGGCTGCCAAACCGCTACCTATCGACACCAAAGTGACGGACACCAAGGCCCGAGATGGGCCTACGGTGCATTCTCCTGGCGCCGCTGATCATGACCAAGTCTTTCCAGAGGTCTCAACTCACATACGTGAGATGTTGCCGACTGGCAAGGCCCAGGCCGATGCAGACATTGACAAGTTGTTGAAAGACGTCGAACCTGAATCGCCTCCCTATTCCCCGAAAGACTTTAACGACGAGGCGATTATCTGGCGTGGGAAGGTTGTCATGAACCCGGTGGCTGATTTCTCATCTTCAGCTAAGCATGTTGGAGGAGCTGAACTGAGTGACAGGATACCGTGGAGTCAGCTTGCACCGTCGACCTTGGTGGTCGATGGGCGAATCGATATTCAGCTGGCGAGCAATTATCTCTGTGGTTTGCGTTTCAGTTCGTCGACGGACGTTTCAGTCATCTCCATCAGTCGCCCAGAATCCCCCAAAGATCAAAAAGGGTTCGACAAACTCTTCAACTATTTCCAAGACCGGAAGCGATACGGTGTTGTCGGAAAACATCCGTTGCCAGCCGTCAAGGATACCTATGTGATTCCCATCGAAGCTGGATCAACAAAGAAGCCCGAATTCATTGAGCTTTTGGAAAACAATACACTTGAAGACCCTACTCCAGAGAGAGTACTATTGGTGGTCTTCGCAGTCAAAACCGGCGAATCGAATCCTCCTTCAGTACAGCCATCGTCACACCATCCGAGTCAGGAGCCTGCGTCTTTTGCAAGCCCTGTCACCGTCGCAGCGACACCCCAGCAACAGCAGTTTCTGACACCTGGACCAAGACAGATGTCGCAGATGTCTCCCACTCCGCCATCCGCTATCTCGGGCATAATTCCGACCCTCAATTCCTATGCTTCCCAGCCTCAACAATCCCTGCAATCGCAGCTGGGGCCAACTCAACAGGCTTCTCAGTCCCAGGGGTATCAACCTCCAGAGCCACATCATCAGGTGCCGGTCACCGGTATGGCCGCCGCAGTGCAGGTGCTTGGTGCTCAGGCAAATGCTCCTGCAATTCAGCAACTCCTCCAGCAGGCTCCGAATGCTGATGTCTCCCAACTGGGTGTTGTCCATGACATTATCTTACGACAGCCAGAGGCGGCTTCAAATTACGAGATGTTAACGCAGGCGCTGTATCAAGCTACCACGAATGGACATGGTCCACAGCAAAACGCCAGCTAGATCCAAGCCATTATATAAGAGATGTTGGTCTTTCATTCTAATGTCTTTGTGTGAATATGCTCCTCTTTTTGGCGGGTTGACGGTAAAAGTTACTGGATGGTAAGGAATATCCCAAGGTTGCGTTCGGATTTGCCTTTGTTCGCTTGTGGATGGATTATGCAATTTGATATCCTCGGATCTCTTTTGTTTTACATGGAGTTTATTGCAATTTTGTGTTTCAGCTCAAGTCTCAAACAATCATTAATCTTCTTTCGGTGTTATCAATCTCAGTTTTGTTTCAGACCTGATTCTTGGGACTTGGAATCTCAGACGCAGTGGTTAAAGACCACAGAGGTACCTTAGTCTTCAAGTAGTATTTATGTCAATATAAACAAGTTACTACATTCACACTGATTTTATTTAGTTCGACTTCCGCCATCATACCTCTGCTATGCGGGCCAGATTAATCTAAAGATAGAATGACGGCTATGCTATGCTGCGTTCATTATTTATTGACTTGTAAACAAGCCTATCACGTCCACATACTGCAATTCATCAAATCCTAGGTATGAAGAAAAGAAAATCAACGCCTGCGCTATGCAAATTCCGGCCTGAATACTTGGAAAGAAACCACGATCAGTAGGCATCTCAATCACCACCGTCCGCCCCGTTTCCTGTATCCGCCACCACCACCATAACGTGGGCCTCGTCCACCACCTGAGCGGCCACCCCAACCGCCCTCGTCATCATCATGGTGACGGACAGGCGGTGGGCGTCCCTTGAGCTCTTCGCTGAGCTTTTTGTACGTCTTCCGCATGTCTGAATAACCCATGTGCATTTTGCCGAAGAAGTGGTCGGCCAGCCGGCGATCGTTATCAAGACGACTCAAATAGGCACCGCAGACGTCGCAAACTTGCAGCTTCTGATGACCGGATGGACCGGAGGTGTCTTGGAGATTCTTGAGTTCGCGCTCGCAGGTCTCTTTTTGGTGTTTGGCGGTGCGAATCTTGTGTAGTTCGTTGAGCGCCTGGGCCACGGCACCAGTTTCACCGAGAACGGAAACTTCAAGGAGACCGGTATTGATGGTCTTTGTGAGGTCGGAGATTTGTTTCAGCTGTCTGAGAGTCAGTGAATGTCCTGCTGATAGCTCGGTGGAAATGTTTCGCTCTTACCAGGTTGTTTGTCTGTCTGATCTCATCGGGGGTCTTCTCTAATCGTCGCTGGGCGGAATCAATCCTGCGATCACAATCGTCGATATATTTCTGCATATCGCGCATGTAATCGAACTCGAAGCCCCATTTCGCCTTCTCGGCCGCTGAGGCGGTCTCGTACTCCGTCTTCAGTCCCTCACTATGTACCTTGGGACAAGGGCCCAGGTCTTGCTTGGTGTTGGTGAAGAGATCATGAGGGCAAGTTCCGACCAGGTACGAGCGACAGACCTTAGGGTCCGTAATCTGAAGCTGCGCATTGCGAGAGCCGCCGCCGGTACCTATGAGCTGGTCCGCTGTGAGAAGATTTCCGTCAGCTTGTTTCAGGGATAATTTGAGATTTGTAGATTTTCTAATGATTTACCTCCCATAAGCTGCTCGAGCAGCTTTCTTTGTTCGGCTGCCATAATGATGGAAAGCTGGCGACAGCTATTGAGCGTGAAAGAAAGGAATATCTGCTTGACTGGCGATGATATCGATTCTGATGCTGAATGAAGATCCAGGATTATCTGACGCGTGGCGCTAAACGCGGCTGCGCTTATGTGAGCTTAAGGTACATCTACTCCGTAGAAATAGAATAGAACGATTCCTAAGTGAACAAGAATTAATTGCTAAATGGACCTAATTATTGGAAAACTATTATCTAATGTTCATAATATTATTTATATAGTTATCCTCATAAAATAAATGCGACATTTCTTGATCTTGTGTAGCTTGCGCTCACCTTGTCATATAGATCCAGAGACTAAACTCAATCGGTTCAAAGGGCCAGTTATCAGGGGCATCTCGAACATCTTCGATGCACCTCAACCCCACTCGATGATTTCCCTGAGAGGTTAGGAAAGGTGAAGACCATACTGCAATAGAATCTCGAGGCTTTTAGACTGCAAGAATGACGTGATGGTTGTCCGCTCCTTTCTCCCCCTACTGTCCCTCCTGATCGCGTTGGCGACCTTCACCTCCGCCGCATCGGACTACCATGAAGCTCTCGTTCTCCAGCCGCTTCCTCAATCCTCCCTGCTAGCGTCGTTTAACTTCCGAGGCAACACATCGCAAGAGGCCTTTGATCAACGGCATTTTCGCTACTTCCCTCGTGCTCTAGGCCAAATCCTACAACACACCCACACAAAGGAGCTACATATTCGGTTCACAACAGGGAGATGGGATGCTGAAAGCTGGGGTACACGTCCCTGGAACGGGACGAAGGAGGGCAATACAGGTGTAGAGCTATGGGCATGGATTGATGCGCCGGACAGCGAAAGGTGGGTCTAGAGACTGTGGACCAGACACAAGGCCTCGCGATGTATACGGAGCTGACTTTCGCCCAGCGCATTTGCACGATGGATATCCTTGACCCAGTCATTGTCCGGTCTGTTCTGCGCATCGCTGAATTTCATTGATTCCACTCGAACGACTCGACCGGTCGTATCATTTGAGCCTATCGGGAATCACCTCGCCTCTGGTGACCTGCATCTGCTGCATGGAACGCTTCCGGGAGAAGTTGTCTGCACGGAGAACCTGACCCCCTTTCTGAAATTACTTCCTTGCAAGGGCAAGGCCGGCGTCTCTAGTCTTCTGGATGGGCACAAATTATTTGATGCGTCCTGGCAGAGCATGTCTGTTGACGTGCGTCCTGTTTGCCCTCAAGGGGGGGAGTGTCTCATGCAAATCGAGCAAACAGTAGACATTGTGTTAGACATTGAGCGTTCCAAACGGCCTCGAGGTGAGTTGTCAGTCTGCTTTTCTCTTTTTGACGTACAGTAGTTCCTGACCCTCCTAGACAACCCAATTCCACGTCCTGTTCCTAATGATCAGCTGAACTGTGACAATTCAAAGCCTTATCATTCAGATGATACCTGTTATCCTCTGGAAAGAGGGTCGGGCAAAGGCTGGAGCTTAAACGAGATCTTTGGTCGTACTTTAAGTGGCATCTGTGCCCTTGACGAAGATCAACGTCCTGGTGAAGAAGCAATCTGTTTGCGGGTGCCGCATGAGCAAGGGGTATATACCACATCTGGAGTGGAAGAGACAAAAAGGCCCGACGGATACACCCGTTGTTTTACCTTGCAACCATCCGGCACATTTGACTTGGTGATCCCCGAGCAATCTCACACGGGCTTGGCCCCTCGGGATGAACCGGTTTTGAGTGCGGAACGCACGATTGTTGGCCATGGCCAAGAACGAGGCGGCATGCGTATTATTTTCGATAACCCATCGGATGCGCATCCGGTCGACTTCATCTATTTTGAAACTCTTCCCTGGTTCTTGCGGCCCTATGTCCACACGTTACGCGCGACGATCACAGGGCGCGACGGAACCACTGGATCGGTTCCCGTCTCGCACATTGTGAAAGAGACATTTTACAGACCGGCCATCGATAGAGAAAGAGGCACACAGTTGGAGCTTGCACTCTCCGTGCCTGCTGCATCCATCGTCACTCTCACCTATGACTTTGAGAAGGCAATCTTGCGCTACACTGAGTATCCGCCGGACGCCAACCGTGGCTTCAATGTCGCTCCTGCGGTGATCAAACTATCTAGCGCGAACGGCAACATCATCGCTCACGATACTCCGATCTACATGCGCACCACCAGCCTCCTCCTCCCGCTACCAACTCCCGACTTCAGCATGCCGTACAACGTAATCATCTTGACCAGTACCGTGATTGCGCTTGCGTTCGGAAGCATCTTCAATCTCCTGGTCCGCCGTTTTGTCGCGGCTGATCAGGCTGCTGCGCTTACCGCCCAAACCTTGAAAGGCAGGCTGTTAGGGAAGATTGTGGCTCTACGCGATCGTATCGGCGGAAAGAGGTCGAAGGTAGAATAGTGTACAATGTAGCATACCCAGATTCTTAGTACCGTCGTTGATCCTTTCACATTCATGCAAATAATGTTTATTCATGACAAGAAAACAAAGCACATAATACATGCGCAGAACTCCCTCAACTCCCAACTCGAATAATCCAGCATACCACTATCTACCTTGGCCATGCAACCTAAAAGCTCAAACGTCAGTACCAACACATCTTTCATCACAAACAAGGCAGGTGATCTCGTGGTAAGACTCACATATCCATCACCCCCTTCGTCTTCGACCACCCAGGCAGCGTCTCAGGACATCCAGGCCGATGCTCCATGAAACTATGATCCTCAGTATCGCACGATGTACCTTTAGCAGTCATTTCAGACGCCCCCTGAGCCCGCTGCTCAAAGTTCGAGCTCGCGGCACCCTTCTGCGAACTCAGACCTAGGAACTGGCCCATTGATGACTTGGGGTTGGTAGCCTGCACCGTAGATCATCAGTTCAGTACTCCGCGCTTGCGAGGTCCGCATCGAAAAGACTTACGGCCTCGTGGCCCGGTCCCTCTGTGCCTGTGCCTCCCTTGAAGAACCCCTTGTCGCCCCAGCCCTTTCCTCCGCCTGCGTTGTTGGCGGGTGTTGGTTTGGAGCTGGCACCACCCTGGGTAGAGGTCCTTTCGTGGTTGACGGCGTTGTCGGCTGTTCTGTCTCCCATTGTGATTTTGATTTCTTTGCTTGTGTCTTATGTTTAGGTCAGTATACAATGTGGAATGATTTATATTGTTTTGATGGTTGGTTGCATAGATGTATAATCGATGGTGAACGTACCTGAAATTTCGAATGTTCAACAATATTGAATATCGCAGATAATATCTTGACTACGATGTCTTTATATAAGAGTTCAAGCTGTATACCTCATCGACCATGTGCTTGTCGATCCGGGCCTATTCTAGTTGCATAGTAACTATGATTTCATAGTGAGCGCATCCCGCCTTGGTCATTGGCTGGTACACGCCACCTTCGCTGAATCATCACATACTCCGTACGACTAACCAGTACATTGACTTGGAAGAGCCAAGAGGTTGCTAGTGAGATCTCGACTATGAGATAGTACGTGTCAGACATTGTGCATGGATCGCATGGACCGCCGAATCTGTAACATCTAGCGCGTATATACATACAAGTTTCATTCCGATTCAGTGGTATAAGATAATCATTACTCGAGTCAAAAAAGAAGAAACATCAGAAAACCTCTCCGGAGGTCTACCCATCATAGAGACATGAGAAACAGATAGGAAGGAAAACGCACATGCATGGACAAAGGTTTATGGAGGCATTAGTAGAGCAGATTAATCCCGCTGCGACTCGACTTGCTCCGCCCACGAGGCACCAGACACTGGAGACAGTGAGGTCTCCAGCTTGTCTGCGAGATCAGAAACCGTCTTGTCCGTTGGTTTGTCACCGCCAGGAAGGGCTGGGAACTCTTGTTCATTATCCAGAACCGGGGTGGCTGGGGAGGCTGCCGGAGCAGCTCCATCTGAAGCGCCGTCAAAAGGCGCAACGCGAGAAGCTCCTCGTCCGCGCCCACCTCTTCCACCATGTCCTCGACCGCGGTGGTTGTGGTGATGGCGTCCCTCTTGGTTCTCCTCCTCTGTGCGGGCATCGTCGAAATCTCTTCGGACGTACCCAGAAACTCCTCCGTGCATTCCTCGCCGGAATTGACCTCTACCGCCACGGGGATTGTAGTCTTCTTCGCGCTTAGTAGCATCCCACTCTCTTCCACCCAGAGCTTCGAGTTTTCTCAAGCGATTGCGCTCGCGTTCGGAATCCATTGCGCGGCGATTCTGGCGTTCCTGGCGGCGCTTCTCTTCTGCAACCTTCTCGCGTTCGAGAAATGACGCCTGATCAGCCTCAGCGCGGGCATATGCAGCAGCTTTTTTAGCGGCGTTCTCCTTGGCGGCAGCGATGCGTCGGGTAAGCTCTTCCTCCGTGAGCTTGGGCTGGAGCGGCAATTAGTACATGATTCTCTCCAAGCTACATAGGTTCGTGCCGTACCTTCTTCACTCCACCGGTTGCGCTCCTATCACCACGAACGGCTGGAACTCGTTGAGCTTCGGCTCCATTCGCCGCAGCGGCGGGCTTAGCATCCGACTTGGCTTCATCCTCTTTTGTAGATTGCTCTGATCCTTCTGCCGGCGTCTCGCGGGCTGCATCCTCCACCTTGTTGTCCTCTCGTTCGGCAGTATTGTCAGTAGACCTGCCCCTCGGCCCCCCCTCTGCACGCCCACGACCTGAATGATGTGACCCGCGTCCTCCGCGCCCTCTTCCTTTCCCTCGCCCTCCTCGTCTATCCCCTCCCCGTGAGCGCGGCGGGGTACCTATCCGTGGTGGTTCCTGGCTCTCGGTGTCTGCAACTTTCTCCTCCGGCGTCTGGACCTCAGCTTGTACTTGTTCGCCTACGGAGACTGGGATGATTTCGTCATCGAATAAATCATCCCCGCCTCGAGTTTGCGCGAACTCGTCTATGACAGGCGCGTCGGTGATGGGATCGGCCATTTTCCAAAAATCACTGGTAAAACGTCCGTAATCTTGCGGATTCTCGATGTTAATCTGATGCGATCACGAACACCTCGCGATGGGTCAATTCGACCAGGGCGCTTGAGCAATTGCGGGGTTGGGGTAGCTTTGCAAAATCAAGGATGAACCCTAGCTAGCGGAATGTACTCCTACGACCACTTTCGAAGCGTCGGAACTATGGTTGCTAAAAAGTCTGTGGGTCAGCGAGAAGTATATGCGACAAGTGTAGTATTATTTCCACGGCCGAAAGCGCTTCATCATCGAGCGCCTTCTGTAATTGACTCTCTTGACTGCGACTACCTCAAAGGCTAAGTTGCCAAGGCGGTCTGTATGTGGAGTTGTGTCTTTGCGGAGATCAAGGGATGATATTTCCAATCGCGTAGTTCGCATGTTCAGGAGAAAGGTCTCACCTACAATTTCCTATTTTTGGCCAGACGCACGGAATATCGCAGAGTCCAAGACGGAGTGTGTTAGTGAAAGAGGACATTGCTCCATTTGCCGAATCGAGTCCTAAGATGTAGATACATTTCTGCCCCTCACTACCGCCACCTTCTGCCGCTTCAATGACATTATATTATAGATTGTGCCCCGAGGTCTGAGACAATCTACGCCGCAGTGTGAAATTTGCTTATGATAGGGACTCCTTCAGTCTAAGACCTCTTATGATATATGGTCTTATGCTCTGTGAGCTTAATTATCTACGCTCAACATATATCTCACACTCACAAACAAGGCCCTCAGCACGATTCCCTGCGAAAGGAGTTATGGCAAGGACCCTGTCTTGGCTGACTTGGTTGGAAATGGTTACTCCCATTTCCTTGGTGGCTTAACACCGATGACAGGCGACCAAATAGGGATATTGGACACTAGAGACATCTGCACACAATTGTTCAACTCATTCGCATTCTATCAGGCAGGACGAACAAGTTTAGTACAACACCAGACACCGTCAACTAAACACATTCCCATGCGTTCTCGTCGGAATAATTTCCCGGTCCCTTGTATACATTTCTGCGAGGATATTTGCAGTGCTTGCGGGTATATTCGATAGATGAACCGACCCCGTTCGAGAACTTGGCACCACGGATGAATTCCGGAGCAATCCCCTTCTCAACCCACCGGACCATTGCCATAAGGACATTGTTCTCTGGCTCAGCACCGTTGTATGTTCTCAGCCCGTTGCCAATGCCGTAGGCGCCGTCTCCGCCGCTACAGTGTGCCATTCCGCTAACGGGGAAGAAGCGGTAGAAGTCATCCAGTTCTTCAGGGCCCAAGCCCATTTTCTCTGCGACGCGCGCATAATACAGCTTCGAGTTATCCGAGCTGATCAGTTGGTCCTGCATACCGTGGTAGGTCAGGACCTTTCCACCCGCCTTCTGGAAGGAGGATATATCCGCGTCCCAGGTCTGGATGTTGTAGGGGTTCTGCGCCAGAGCGACCGCGGCATCCTGGACCGTCCACTTGGTAGCGTCCCAATTGGGATTGGAGTAGACGACATAGCGGTACCAGTCGGTGCTGTAGCTGAAGGGCTGACCGTTGTACATGATCGACGAAGCGAACAGTTCGGAGCCGGGTTGCATGCGAGGGTAGAGCAGAGTTCCGTTCACGCCATAGAATGGGGAGAGAACATTGCGAACAGTCTTCGCTTGGGCACTGGTGATACAATTGGTAGTGCTAGAGGCACCTGGCTTGCAAATGATCGTCTCGAGAATAGGATGGCAGAGATCGGTATCCTCGATGATGCCATCCTTTGCCCCGTCGATTCCATCGCACTGCCGCACGATCTCATCATGGACGACCTTCCACGAAGCCGGCGAGAGGTATGTGTCTGATGTATTGGATCCGGTGATAGAGTAGAAGTGGATACTCCACGAGATCAGGTTGACGAAGTTGAAGGCTGGAGCACCTGCCACAACACCGTCGAAGTCATTGGGATACTTCTGGATCGACTTGAAGCCTTGTCTACCACCTGTGGAGCATCCCAGGTAGTAGGACTTGTCGAAGCCTTCGTTGTAAAACATCTTGGTGAGCTGTTTACCAACTACGACACCGGTGTGAATTGACCGGTACGCGAAGTCTTCGATGACTTCAGGATGCTGGTAGAACGGCTTGCCAGATGTCCCATTGTGGCCATTGTTGGCGCCGACTGTTGCGAAGCCTAAGCCGGCAGTATAGGCAAGATCATAGTATTGGATGCCTATAATAATATCAGCCACAACGGAACTCTATCTGTACAACGGATTAGAAGAAGCCATACAGCCAGAGAGGCCTCCATTGCCCGTGCTCAGAAAGCGGCCAGTGTAATCACGCGGAAACCATGCTTCCAGGGTGATCTGGCTGCTTTTCGACGTATCAACAGCCATAGCAACCCGGCACATATCCGCTGACACAGTCTGAGAGGATGCACCGCAGGTGACATCGTTGTCGGGCAGTGTGAGGTTGGTCCCTCCAGGGACATATTCAACGAAGTTCACGTGGACATTAGGGAGCTTGATCCTGTGTCCAAAACTAGCACATTTAGCCTGGAAAGCATCTTGCTTTGCCAGAGCTGCCAAGGCCAATGTGAGAAGAAGTAGTAGAGAAAGCTTGGCCATGTTGACTGAGTCAGCTCATCAGGGGGTCTGGCTATTGCTCTTAGCAGAAAATCCCAGGATTGCTTCGGGGTTCGCTGGAAAACAGCATCTTTTTGTACTACACTTCCCCGGGAATCTACCCTCATCAGAACGGTAACCCCGTGGGGTAATTCACTGATAGGAGCATCTTCACCAAGTTGCAGGAGGAACCCCTGTGCAAGTCCCGAGGTTGTGGCCAATGAAAGCAGGACTAGACAACAAGTATTTCCCGATCATCAATGCCGTTCCAAAGCATGCAGGAAGATCAAGCAGGATCTGGGACAACGGGTTATGCGCCGATTCAGAGCAAGCGGGCCTCTCCCACATGAAGACGGGAAATCCGGTCTGTCGAGTCATGCCTTCGACGAGGGGTGGATCTTCGGGTATTTTCCTCATGCGCCAAGTCTGGGGATCTCCAAATCCTTTCCCATATATGTGGAGTGACTGGCGAAAGTCAACATCGCTCGGCAAGTGCCGATGCCGATAAATACAGCTCAGGACAGGGCTGCCGAAGCTTAGTACCTGACGTATTGTAGATACATGAACTTGGTAGATGTCCAGTTTTGGGCTATTGAGAGCAGTCATGGGAAGTCCGAATTTTCGGCTTCACACTCACATCCTTAGAAGGTAACTATAAGAAGTCCTCGGGCTGTCTGCTCATGACACTGGGCATTCTATGAAATTTTTGTTCAGTCTGAGCTGTTGAGGAATCTAATTGTCTTCACATGGCGTGTGCTGCGGAATACAGCACAGATACGCGCTATTTCTGATCGTTACCAGGCTAGGGTTACGGGCAGATTGCCGCGGTACATACTCTTCCCCATTTTATCTCTGCAAGAGAAAGTGGAGCATTGACTCTCCTCAGTCCTTCGTATCTTCTACACTGAGGAAGGACAGACTTGTTGCCCATGTGATCTACATCCAGTATTTGATTGTGAAAATCCTCGAGTAATCTGACTAGCTCTAAGGTTTCTATTTTGCAAGTAGCAGCTTCAGGGTTCAAATTTGGCAAAATCAGGAGAGCCAGTACGTCCAGCATTCAGGCCTATACTTATTTGGTGATACTCGAGGATTTGATGTGGCTTCTAGTGGAATCTCATCAACTCTTCATTCTTCGTTCACCTGAATTATCACTTAACTACCAGCGCCCATTCCCTCTAGCCTCAGAGTAATCTGGTATAATGACGGAAATAACAAACCCATGGAACTCCCCATTTTCATATGCTGACGCCTGTTCCCCAGTAAGAAATCGAAATGACGACATAGATATATGGACTAAATAATGCAAGTAGCGAATAATACCAGAAAGGTCGGTGAGGACGAGAGCTAAAACAGAACGCCGTGGTAGAATCTCGTCATCGTAAAGTGAACTGGAAATATGTTATTCAAGCATGATCAAATGCAAGCTATGGGAAGTATACTCACCCGCACCGATCAGAAGGGCTGCCAGAGCCAATCTTGGACTGTGCGCGCCTATAAAACTGAGAAGAAGACCACACACTGTCCATGCAGAGGATGGTCCAATAATATTCCCTAAGATTGGAGAATCTCGATATCTGGTCGTCGTCTCGTCAATCATCGCTTGTAAGTTCGCAGCAGTTGCAGTTGCCTTGTCAAGAAGCGCCTGTGAAATCTGAAAGTTGGTTTCCATGTGTTGCTGTAATCTATATTGCGCTTCAAGCGCATCGAACTGTTGCAGCTGAGCTGTACGTAAAGCTTCAGCTTTTGATTGCGAGTTTTCAAGAGATGTCTCAATATTTCGCAGTCGCTTCAGGGATTAGCACAGTCAAGAAACCTGTTGAAGGGCAAGCCACCAACCTCGGACATGCTCAGCTCTTGTTGTAGAATGAGTCCTAGCCTCTCTGAGAGCCATGACTGGTGTTGTAAGCCTTCTCAAATCGTCACAATGGGCAAAACTTCACTTACTAGTGATGCGTCAAAAGTCTCGACATTCTGAGAAAGTCTGGCCACATCACCCTGCACAAGGGACTCGAGCCTGGACTGAAGTGAGAGCGCAAGCTCATTCTGTTTCTCGACATTCTGCTCATGAGCATGCACACTTTGTGCTTCTCTGGTTAGAGCTTCATCATAAACAGCTTGCAGCATTTGTCGCAGGTAGTTGACTTCATTGGTAGCATTTCGAATGTCCTGAACAATGTCAGTCGTATTGGTAGAACATTGCTAGTCACGTACCCTCTCAAGGCTTGTTGCATCGTTATGTACCCTTGCAAGGGCTGTGGTGGCAGTTGAAACTACCGAATCAACGGCGGACTCGATACCCTCCATTAGGTTGGCCAGCAAAGCTCTGAAACCAGTTTCAGTTGCTTCCAGGTCTTGTGTCAGCTTCGCCTGCAAAGCTGCGGTCGCCTCCATGAAGGCTTGACGCTGGGAAGATTCAGCAGAGGCCATCTGAAGCGCCTCCTTGAGACCATGGCTAAGCTTGATGGAACTTTCGACTATTGAGCGATGAAGCTCGAGAAGCTCCTCTTTCTCGGTCTCAAGCCGTGTTGCTTGACATATTACCATGGCATTTTGTCTACTATTACTATACGATGTCCACCACTGTGGTCGAGATTCCAGTGACCGTAAGCATAATTCTAGGACCTCAGTAGGCATAGAGTCCGCGGTGGTGGTCGTGGATTTATGATTGGAAAACCCAAAGAATCCTTTCTTCCGCGGGGCCTCAAGAGTAACTGGAAGACATGGAGAGGGAATTGATGCTCCCGCTCCGTCGAGTTCACATACTGCAAGTCGTGCCGCGTACAGGGAGCGAACATGCTCCAATGCAAGATATGTACTTGGTTCTGTATGATCCGTCGTCCCCCCTATCGATTGACAAGATGCGACGAGCCTTGAAGCTGCAATCCTGTTGCAGGAAGGCGACGACTTCATAGATTCAAGTAGCTGCACCGCTTCGGTAAAGATAGCATCATGCTGCTGCGTCTTCGACTGCAGGAAGGATACCAGATCAATTTCTGCAAATGCATCATGAGCGGGTACCGACGTCCCTAACTTCATTATTAATGACACATCGATAATTCCTCGTCTGAGAACATACCGGTCAGCAGCTTCCCTGCGAGGGCAGGACTCAATATCAGCAGGATAAAGAGAAGCATGCCGGCAAGCAAGAACGTAGGCGGATGAGTCCTTGACATCTGGCTGGAAAATAGAGTGTCACGCAGTGAGTAGAATAGAGTCGATGGAGACACTCGGCGGCAATGATATTGAGATCAGACACTAAAAGAATAAGGGCAATGGATGTTGTAACTTATAGTCCAGAGCAGATAGCAGAATAGAAAGATGAATATGTCAAATCTCCTGAAAGACTGAAGCTGGAATGAAGTAGTATGAGATGAAGCTGAAAGAAACAACAGCGAAAGGAGCAAAGCGAGACACAGACATTACACTATCGAGCGCAAATCAAAGGATACCTTACAAGAATCAATCAAGCCATGTCGCCCGCAAACTCTGACTATATGCAGAAAATCAATCCTAAACAACATACAGAGGCCTTGAATGTTTTGATCTCGATCTATGAAGATGGTGATAAAGTCACGTGAAATGATACTAACCCAATTTGGAGAATATGCCTTTGGACAAAATCAGTTGAGTTCCGGACTTTCAACCGCTATCTCGAACAGTCGAACACAATTATCGTCGCCATGTCGAATCTTCTACCCCAGAGCTGCTTGAGGCAGCTTGCACGAACCCCTCTGCGGCAGACCACTCTACCTATCTTCCTGGCACCTGCATACTCCCACCCGCTGCGGACACAATGTTTTTCAACCACTTCCCCGACACAATCGCGAGTAGGCGGCGCTCCGATCTCGATACCACCAGAAGTTTCCTTGAAGTTTGTCGACTTGCCCCAGACTCAGGTACGAGGCCGGTCAAAGGAGATTCCTAAGACCGCCATTGAGGTCAAGGGTCCTCTGGGTAAGCGACGGTGCCTCATCATTGAGTGTCTCGGAAGCGGAATCTAACCTACGGTTTTGGTCCTAGGCGAATTGACCTTGAATATCCCTCCATTTGTTGAGGTCGCACACGATGAAGCGCTTCGGAAAGCCAGTTTGACCGTTCAAGACCCCTCGATTACCCATCAACGTGCCATGTGGGGTATGTAAACGACTCTTGAGTGTTCATGCGACGGCCCATGGCTGACTTTTGCGGCTTCTAGGAACTATCCGGGCCCATCTGCAGAATTACGTACTTGGTGTATCAGAAGGGCATATTTGCATTTTGAGTCTGGTCGGTGTCGGTTACAGAGCGAGCATCGAGTCCACAGCGACTACAGTGGAACCCGAATACCCAGGCCAACAATTCGTCTCTCTCAAGGTTGGATATTCTCACCCTATTGAGCTCGGTGTTCCGAAGGGAGTCAAGGCCAGCACACCGCAGCCTACTCGTATTCTGCTTGAGGGTGTCGACAAGAGTGTTGTGACACAATTTGCGGCGGAGATCAGAGAATGGAGGAAGCCAGAGCCTTACAAGGGCAAGGGTATTTTTGTGAACGGAGAAACAATCAGACTGAAGGCCAAGAAGATTCGGTGATCTGGAGTGATTTGTATTTTACTTTGGCATTTTCTTGGAACAGGGTCTGGGCTATTTCTGTACATGTATATTCAAGCAAGAGTCTCTCCTGTTTTCCTAATTGGTATCTATCCCATGTACTTTTAGGCGCATTGAGCGTGCAGGATCTAACAAAGATTTAGAACGGGTTTAGTGATTCGATTCAATTGTTGTTAGCGTTCACATCATCTTTTATAGCTTCAGGACCGTCTTGACGGCACCAATGACCTGGTCCTGGATGGCCTTGGGAGCAGCGACGACTCCCTTGTTGGCAGCCAAAGTCCGGCCCTTGCTGAAATCCAACCGCTGGCCATAGATGTCGGTCACTTGCCCACCAGCCTCGCGAACAATGAGATCTCCAGCAGCATGATCCCAGATCTTCTCTTGGTAGTCCTTTCTAACAGGTAGTCGTAGGTAGATATCGCCTGCGCCTCTAGCAATTGAGCAGTACTTGGCCTGCGAGTCGAGCCGCACGCTGGGGGAGGTGATACCCAGGAGCTGAGCGACGGCAGCGTTGTCGCCTTGAGCGGAGTGGGCAGCCTCCACTCCCTCACAGAAAACGGCCTGTTTGATATCGGGAACGGGACGCATCGAGATGGGCTTACTCTCGGCAAGAGCACCATTCGATAGGGGTCGGCTAATGGCTCCCTGGCCCTTGATGGCCGAGAAAAGTACTCCCATGCCGGCATCATCAGTCTGGTCAACGCCGATGCTGGCGGTCATGGCAACCGAGTCGTCCACGGGCAGGTTGGGGCAACCGATGGCACCGACCTTCACATCTCCGTCCTCAATCAAACCGAGACAGACAGCATACTGGCCGCCCCGGAGGAATCCCTTTGTACCGTCGATGGGATCCAGAGCCCAGATACGACCCTTAGGACCGCCTGCGCTCTTGCCTTGGTCGATGATGTCCAGCATCGCATCTTCACTTGGCAAGTGACCACCCAGGAGCTCATTGCTCTCGCTATCTTCCAATCTGATGTCCTTGACCAGTCTCCAGATCTCTGCGCTCAACGCCTTGTCCTCCCGAAGAGAGCTAGCCTCCTCTTCGGCGACGATCTCATCGTTGGGGAAGTTCTTGCGGAGGGCTTGGATGATAAGAGCTTGAGCGCCGAAGTCGCCAATGGTGACGGGCGATTTGTCGTCTTTCGAAACCGTGCCCTTGGCCTTCTCGTGGAAAACTTTCTGTGTCAGAAGTGTTGCTCTCTGAACAGCCAGTTCGGCAATGTAGCGCTCTTGTTGGTAGGACATGTTGGCAGTGTAGGTATAGTAGGGTGAAAAAGACAAGGCGGGGAGGGAGGTAAATATGCGCGGGCGGGTTTTAAAGACGATACTGACTCCGAGCAGAAGAGTGGAGCAGAGGACAAGACGGGAGAAGATTGAGAAGGACGACTGGCGAACTGAGGAGCGATCAGCCGCATTTATAGACCGAGGACCCATTGGGAAGGTGAAGAAGGCATACGTAAGATGCTGCTCAGCAGCTATTGTTAGTAATTGGTGATACTCCCAATTCCAGATCGCCCTCAGTCATCAATCCCCTGCAGTGATAGTCATCATCCATATAGAATTATTTACTCCTGACTGTTTCCATGAGCGTAATCGGACGTACGTCCGGTAACCCCAGGCATCCAGGCATCCCATTCCCACCTCTCTCCCCGCCCTAAACTCCTTTGGGGGTGCGGAGAGGGGCAATCACGAGATTGGCCCATGATCGGAGGAAGGAGGAGTAGGGGTATCACTAGTTTGGACGACAGTGAGGTCTACCTAATAGTAGATAGTCATATATGCCACCCTTTCGCATCTCTGTTGCATTTTTCATCAGTGGCGCGAAAGGCTTAGCATAGCGGGTGTTGCGCGAACCAGCCTCGTCTTTCTTAGAAGTCGACCGTGCTCGTGTGTTGGGCTTTTAGCACTGCCGCCAGGGCACACGACGGCCTCGGTCGGACTAACAGGCCTAACACGTCACCGTCTGGTTATTGCTGTGCCTAACTTCATAAATCTCGTGCCGAGACCCTGGATTTAGGAGCTATACACGGCGTTGCAAGAATCGAGCTCTAATTCCTGACTACTCATCTCTCGGTCTCACGAGGGCCGAGCTTGTCAAGAGGAGTTGCACTGACTTCGCCTTGGAAACAAACCATTGCGCTTTGACTGCTTTGATACTCATTTACCCAATAAGACCTTGAATGACAACGCCATGTTCCACTCAGCAGTAAGTGAGCTTCGGTCATTGATTAGAGCTGTCGCAGAAAGCTTGATCGTTCAGACTCAAATCAATCAGATTCTGTCCGGCGGATTTGCGAATCATGTTCTTTGTAATTGATCATATGAAAAGCGTGCAGAACTGACGGTACTTCGCGTAGAAACCATACTCGGCTGTGACCGTTCAGATTGAGGTGCTCACCGGTGAGCAATATGAGATTGAAGATTCGAGTGGAATTGTCGATCTCATCGAAGCGATTCGCATTCAGAGCAGCGGACCGACGGAAGCAAGTCGTGCGTTGCGTAAGAAACTGTCAGTCCAGCTATCTATCCCTTTATCTCAGTCCTACCTGTCTAATGTTTCTCCAGTAAATATGGCAATTTGCACCGCCAGCTGAGGGCTCTTACCATTCTTGACTTCTTGATACAGAACGCTGGAGATCGATTCCTGAGAGAGTTCGCAGATGAACCACTCTTGGAGCGTCTACGAATCGCAGCAACCGATCCAGTATCTGATCCTTTGGTGAAACAGAAGTGCAAGCAACTTTTCGGGCAATGGGCAGTATCCTACAAGGACACACCGGGAATGGGAGGGGTGACAGCGCTTTACCGGCAGCTTCCAAAGCGCAAACAGCCCGCCACTCAGGCCAAGGCGAAAGTTCTCCGGGATACTGGTACTTCGACAAATAATGAGCCACAACTGGGCCATACGGTCTCTATTTCGGTAGGGAACGGGCCAAGCACTGTCTTGAGCAGTCCCAAGCACAAACATACATCGAGCAAATCTTCTTTCAAGAGAGACAAGAAAGAAAAGGAGAAGAAAATACCTAATAGGTCGTTCAGTTTGGAGAGAGAGAAGCCGGAGATGCTACAGACCCTCGCCTCTTCCTCGGTCGCCAGCACCAACCTTCTGAACGCGCTGAAGCGGGTAAACCGCGAAACTCACCGGGTGAGCGAAGATGCAGAGTGTCTCAACCGGTTTGAGACCTGCAAGCTCCTTAGGCGGCAAATTCTCCGGTACATTCAGCATGTCGAGAGCGAGGAATATCTGGGAAGTCTTATTCACGCCAATGAGGAGTTGGTTACTGCACTTATGGCGTTCGAAGTCCTGGATAAGAGTATAGACTATGACAGCGACAGTGACCAGGATGTGCTTGAAAGTGGCTGGACTCCTGACCGAGACGATCTCAATGAATCTTTTGCCGGACTGGTCGTTAACCCTCCCAAACCTCCTCGGCCTCCTCGACCTTTGAGCATATCCGTACCGTCATCCTCCCAGCAAAAGTACATTAGTGCCAGTGAGTCGGAGACGGATGAGGACGATGACGACGAGAACAACCCATTTGGCGACAGAAACGCTATCCGCACTCCCGGTCTTGAGAAGACTGAGCCTACCTGGTATGTATCTTTTACGATCTTCATGGTACGCATAGTTCCGGCTAATTTATGTATAGGAGAGAAGTTTGAACCCGTCTTCTCTATTTCACTCGTGACGCCATGTCCCCGCTATACTTTTTTATGTGTCTGATGATTCTCTATGTCTACTATTTCAACGGTAATGAGGGAAAGGAAAATGAAGGGGAGGACGACTAAGGTTCCACGGCTTAGAAAATCGCTCAGGCGGATTATACCCGAGTTACTCATAGTCAGCAGCACGCTCTTAACATAATGAAGTGTTAGAAACTGAAGGCGGTCTTTGCAAGTCTGCTCTTAAGTATACTTTCTCGGGGCGTTGACAAAGCGCAAAGGACGTAATTCCTTCTACCATCGATTCTCAGTATCGAGCACTTGAACCGGAGGATGTAGTCACAAGCATGATATCTCATCTGCTCAAAACTGGCCCCATAATCAAAGCTCGTATAGTTCGTTTGGTCTTCGCATCCTACGGTACACGAAAGGTCGAACGCCTCCACACTATCTATTTAGGCACCACTTCGACGTCAGCAAGCGGGAAATGGTTGTTGGTGAACATTTAGCAACCACTTCGGCCATGACTCAATTAATCAGTTATAAAAAAGCACAGCGCATCCCGACGACGAAACATCCTACATCTGACTCCTGACTCTGATCAACAATCCCTCCAACTACCACAAACGTATTCGCTAACCACCCGAGGAGAAGCATAATGACGCCCCCAGTCACCGAAATCGCGCTCCTGCGCTTAAAATCCAATCCTCCGTCCGCATCATTCAAAGCACTCCTCCTGGAAGGCATCAAAGCGCAAGCCGAATTTTCCTCGTACCCGGTTTATCTCTTCACCCAAGTCGAGGATCCCTCGCTCATCTACCTTGTCGGGGGATGGGACTCGGCGCAACAGCATTACGACGAGTGGATTCCCTCGGCTACGAATCAAGGGATCATGGCAGAGCTATCGAGTGAGATGGAACTGGTGGGGTTGTCCCATGTGGATGGTGATGCGGCGCGGCAGGGGGAGTTACTGGCCGATGCACCTGTTGTTGCTGTGGGGCGGTATTTCATGAGCGCTGAGAAGAAAGAGGGGTTTGACCGGGTATTTGAGGGGTTGCAGCGTCATCTGGAGGAGGTTACGAAGCCGTTACCTATCTTCAAGGGGTGGAAGGTTGAGAAGGAAGAAGGGAAGGAGGAGTTTGTGCTGTTTAGTGGATGGGCGGAGGTGCAACAGCATTCCGAGTCTGCCCGGTCAGAGGGAGTCCAGGAGTTCTCGAAGATCAAGGAGTATACGGACTCCTCGGAGGTCAAGCATATGGTTCGATGGGAGATTGAGTGAGTGTGAAGGTCCATTGACATCATTAGTTCATTTCTCATGAGGCTATGTATGTATGTGTGTATGCAGAACGCCATAATCTACAGCAAACCAGTTGGGTATATTTCTCGAATGATTGGGCCATGAATATACGGAGCAGCAGAATCAGACGGACGATGAACGAATGGAGAATATTCACAGGACTTTTGTTTTCATCCATTCGCTTGTTCCAACGCCCAGGTTAAGCCCGTTGCGAGCCCACCACCGGCGGACACGGCCCTCGGCGCCAGAGACTGGGTCCGCATCCTCGAGGGCTTCTTCAATGTCGCATGTTTTGAACTCGACTCGCAGACCACTGCGGCGCCACCATTCTAGAACATTGTCATGTCCATTCTTGGTCGGCCCAACTAACAGCTGGCTGTCGAAGATCATCTTGGGTCCCTTTAGCCGGTACCAGAAATCGAGGACATGGACATGGCCGTGAGTGCTGGCAATGCGGGCAACGGACTCTGCGTGACTATAAGGAATGCCCGAAGCATCCCACCAAGCTAGAGACTCCACTCGACCAGACTGTGCAGCGAGTAAAACAGATTTCCCTACTTTAAGCGGAATAGGATTCGATGGTGGAGCATTAGCAGAGGCATTCTTCCACCATTCAAGCACCGCTACCCGACCCTCGGCACTGGCCGACTCGAGTGCTCTCTCCGTATACCGTAATTCGAGTCCCGATGTTCGCCACCATTCGAGCACCTCGACGAAGCCGGCGCGAGAGGCTCCATCCATCGCATCGGCGCTGTAATCCTTATTCGGCAGCGCAGGTGTCTCCTGCCACCACGTCAAGACCTTCGGGTTTCCGTATATTGCCGACGCGCGGTACGGCAGTTTTGTTAGGCGGGATGTAGTCCATAGCATATCAAGATGGTTCTCTGTCAAATATGACAGTACGTCGGTTCGCGAGAACTTGAAGATGAGGTGGCAGGCTAGGTCTGACAGCGGTTTCCACCGGGGTAAGCTGTCTATGCGCTTTTTGATAGCAGCAAAGGACCCTCTTAGGATTGTGTATTCCAGAGATGCGGGAGTAGACATCTTGAGTAGGTGAGATTGCCATTCCTTAGGTACAGGAAGGTTTGTAGGAATGCCAACTGCTTTGGCGATTTCCCAATCTTGCAACTGTTCTTCGAATATGTTGAGCCATAACTCGAGAGGTAGTGATCGCGCGCCCTTCCGCAGATGCTGTGCCGCTGACATTGCACTCGCGGACTGTTTGGTCGCTGACGGGACTACTTGCTGTGTGCTATCGAGAGCCTGCCCAGAAATTGTCGAAGACTCAGCGAAAGACAGCCCTAGGGTCCGCTCCATAGTATTGTGTAACTCTCCTAGACCATCCCAAGGTAATTGAACAAGTTCCTCGGGTCCATTTGACCGCCAGAGGGCTGGCTTGACAATGTTGATCCAAGGCCAATATCGATCGACTTCTGCCAGCTGTCTACTGCTAAGAGGATGTTCCCACTCCGAAACAGTCATTCCCGGTACAAGAATGACAGGTTTTGTTGAAATCCAGCCACGAAGAAGCGCCAGCGTCAAGGTGTTGGTGAGGCCAAATAGCATCGACCCCAATGTTCCAGCATCGATAGGGGCAACAAGGAGCATATCAGCCCACTCACTGAGCTCTGCTGCCTTGGCCTTAAGCCACCTTCGTGCACCGGTCTTCTTCTCAAATGTTTGACTATCGACAGTATCCATGTAGTGAGGTATCTTGTTTGCGCCTGCCAAGAGGGCCGAAGGCTCGTCCGTGATCAGCCGTAGTTCGACATCGGGGTTCTGGAGAAGGGAGGGTAGTATGTTATCGACAAAGACGCTTTCCGTCGACAGTAATATGCGCCTTCGGCGGCGTTTCGACGAAATAGCGACATTTTCCACAACTTCGTTCGAACTGGTGTTGGTAAATGCAGAATGCCGAGTTGACCTCTCCTGAGTCTCCCCATCAATCTCCATTTCAATCGGCAAAAGGCTTTTTGAGGCAGCACCCGCTAAAACACCCGATTCTGTAGGGCTATCCGGCCGTAACCCCACTGCCATGCCACGAATATGACCAACGCCCTTTGAAATCGGCTAGAGAAAAGTTGTGGCAATGATAATCGACGGAGCAAAGTTTGTGGTCCGGAGAGCAAATCGAAAAGTCCAAGAGACTACCCGGACGACAAAGAAGGCTTCAAAGAGGGTAATTCAACGAGCCGAGCTTTCTCCGTACACCTCTACGCCACAGGGGGAATCTGCTAGTAAAAGCGACAAGGAAGCCAAAAGGTAGCAAGGGAGTGTCGACACCAGAGCCAAATGAAATTGGGTTACTCCAATTGCAGCCCAAACAGCTCTCCTTCAACAAACAACGATATTGAATCCATGTGAAAGATGGCGGCAACGCCCAATGGCTGCTCTTTAATGCAGCTTGACAACAAGGGCTCGAACGTGTCAAAGAGGTGAGTGAGCTAATAGACTTAAATTGTTGTATGAGCGGGTGGACCAAGAAAGCGGTCAAGAACAACGCAAGAAAGTGGATCGAAAGTTAACTCGACGGTTCCCAGGATAGAGCGCTTGGTTCCAGGCCAATTTGGTGTCGAAACTTGTTATGGGTCACCCTGTCCCCCGTTTCGCTGACTCGGTGTCGCCACGTCTTCTCGCACTATCAGTGATGCTCTTCTGTCTGTGACGCCACCCCTACCGCAACCGGTCGAAAGTCAGTCGATGTGCCAAGAGTGTTGGGGAAAATCACTCGAAGTACCTGAAGCGCGGTGGGCTAAGGAAAGATACTCTGATAAAACACGGAATCTCAAGGCTGGAATTCTGACCAAAGGCAGACAATAATCATAAGATTCTCACAAACTCATGGCCCGCCCTTTACCTACTTACTGTACGGCTATCGGCGGGGAGAGAGATCATGTGGAATCTCAGGGCTCTGATTGGCTGATATAAACCACACCATAATTACGGTGTGCCAGTAGCAGTACTAGCTGCATCAAAAGGCAATAGACAGCTTATCTAGCGCCTACCTAAATATATATACCCGCCTATGTAGGATATGGATAGCGTAACTATTCACCATCTCTTCGGGCCAGATTGTTGTGCAACTTGTGCTCCCGCATGGCCATGCTGACCAAGGCCCCCAAGACGCTGAGTCCAAGTAATGTCAGGAAAACCGCCCGCAGAGAATCCATATATGCGTCTAGAACTCCTGCCTTCCAATCCTTGGGAACCCTGTTGATCTCGTCCAAACTGTCCCTGATGCGTGAGATAATTTCTCGGGCATGCTCGCGATCACCGAAGCGCGACCACAGCCCTGACTTCAGGATATTTTGGAAAACTGCAGATGCAATGGTGATACCGATCGTACTGCCTGTGCTGCGGAATGCATAGGATGCGGACGTAATGACAGCATGGTGTTCGTGGTCTACAGCAGAAATAAGTGCCACAAGCGTGATGGTGAGCATGCTGCCGTAGGCCGTGCCAAGGCAGAAGAAGTAGACGAAAGGGATCCAAGCAGGTGTCGCCAGGTTCAGAGTGCAGATCAGGGCACCTGCAGCGACGAGGAGAATCATGGAAAGGTTGCTGAATATCTTGTACCGTCCGGTAGCACGCATGAGAAACCCCGAAGCAAGAGAGCCAAGGGATGTCCCAAGCGCCTGGGGTATGAGCCTGACGCCAGCGGCAGTGGCCGATAGGCCCTCAACCTGAAAGTACAAGGGGAGGTAGAAGAGGAGTCCGAAGATCGCCATGGTACTGAACCAGTTGGTAAGACAGGCCGATGATACGGTCCGGTTGAGGAGCAAACGGACAGGGATGACTGGTTCGGACGCAATATTTGCCTCGATATGAAGGAAGATGAAGAGGGACACGGCGGAAAGCGGCAATGTCGTGAGAATCAACGGATGAGTCCATGGCACCTGATTACCTCCAGTATTAAGCCCAAGTAGCAATAGCACAAGTGTAATGACCAGAGTGATAGCTCCCAAGAAGTCCACCCGCTTCAACTTGGCCGTGTCGGTTTCCTTGACGGGTACCTTCACCATCACGGCAACAAGGATGCATGATACGACAACAAAGGGCACCTGGATCAAGAAAGCCCATCTCCATCCCAGAGTGTCGTTGATCCATCCTCCGAAAACACCGCCGAGTCCACTTCCCGCTCCATAGCAGATGTTACCAATGCCTTGCCAGACACCTCGTTTGCGAAGAGGAACCAGATCCGATGTGACAAATGTCGAGATAGCCGTCAGACCACCGCCTCCAATTCCTGCCACAACACGGCCTAGTACAATGGTACCTTCGCTCTTGGCCAAACCACATATCAAGTTCCCGGCAGCGAAGAACACGTTCGAAAAAATTAGACCGGCGCGTCGCGAGTAGATGTCGGTCAATCGGCCGCTTAGCGGTTGAAATGCGGCATTGGATATCAGGTACGATGTGGCTAGCCAAGAAAGTAGAGAGAAGGAATTGAACGATGACGAAATGGGCGCAGTGAGAGTTGCAACGATCGTTGTGTCTGCAGCGGTTAGTGATGGACTCAAGACACTACCTGGTCACTGAGCCAGGCGACGGTGCAAGTACCTAATGCAGCCAGGAATACACCTAACCATATACATCCAAGAATTAGAATTAGTTCCTTGAAGCTGGGCTCCTGGCCTGGATCGACTGCGCTGTCATCATGCTCATGGGCGTTAGTGCCTGGAGGTTGAGTCTGTTCCCTCAGGAGAGGTGTCTGCTCTGAGACCGAGGAGTGGTCGGAGCGCATTTCTTTGTCTGGAGTTGAGCTTAATGCCGACGTCTTTGCTCGGATGTGAGCCCCCTTGAGCCAGTAACAGTTATTTACACCCTTTGTTGAGAAGAGCTGACTCTGGCCAAGGAGGTACTGATAAGCTTGTGGAGACTACGGGGTAACGTTCGTCTAATCAAGTCATCACCATTGGCCAAATCCTTTAGTTAATCCGCCTTACTGTGATATAAGCGGATTGTATCTAAAGGGAAATTTAATCAAAGAAGACATTTAACTAAATCTATTAATGTTTTGATAGTGATACTTTGTGTCCAAGGTACGCCTCTTCAGATAATTCCACCAAACTCTAAGACTTAGACTCCCACACACTGGGAAAAGGATGGAATGTTTAAAAAGAATTGCTCACAAGCGGATTTGAACCGCTGACCTCATGATTACTAGTCATGCGCTCTACCAACTGAGCTATGCGAGCTGATTGGCTGACAACCATTTGTCTGGATTGATTTATGTAAGCATCTGTGAAGAAAGCATCAAAGTTATTTCGTACTATTGAGTTGAAAAAGCGAATCAAAGTCCAAAAAGCATTGATGAGATCATGTGTCCATGTATCAAGGGGTCTATCTTTAGATTTCTCTTCAGCACAATTATGGACGCTTCACAATAACAAGAGCTCGCATAGCTCAGTTGGTAGAGCGCATGACTAGTAATCATGAGGTCAGCGGTTCAAATCCGCTTGTGAGCAATTCTTTTTGGTCCTTGTTTGATTATCTTCTCTTTTTCTTTGTTTTATTGTATTCTCGATTCTCTTACTTCAAATTCTCGATGCAATTTTTTCCTCCTGTTTCTCGGTCCCACGAACCTAGTCTCATCACCACTAGATGCCATCTGCGATAACCTCTGATAGTTCTTATGGGACACGATTTACACAGCAAGCATATCAGACAATTTCGGGAGATTGCGACTGTCACTGTGCCCTGCTTAATCAGGATAATCGCCCGGTAGACACACTAGTAGCTGTAGGATAGGTTGCAGACTCAGATGCCATTGCTGATTGCCCAATGTCCCTGTTGGTGTTTCATTTCAGATTGATGCAATATACTCGCTCCCTATGTGAGACAATGTTATAAGAAAAGTCATTGTTTCGCTAAGCGCTCCCGAGTCTGAGATATTGAGTGACGAATGATTTGTGTGACAGAGGGGTTTCAGCTGTGCTTCCTTCATTGGAATGGATAACTTAGGCGAGCAATGTCGAGCTTCGGGACTACGTACCATGTTAATTAAACGTTGTTGTCCATGGAATAGGAATGAATCGATCTGAGCTGTTCCTCTCACTCTAACCCCCTAGAGTCGAAGGGGCATGTCATCAATCACTTAGGATGGATAGTTCCCCAAAGCCTTTATTTCCCCCTTTGTTCCGTCAACTGTAGGTGACTTGCCGTTATTCCACATTCAGGAGCTTATGCCGATCTCCTCCGTAATGGTCTTTATTATCGGAGACTTGGAGCCGGTACTTAGCTCCAAGACCAATGAATAAACCCCCTGGACGGGACAGTTGAGTAGCGTCCGTCCGCGCGCATAGATAGCAATTCGCCGGCTGATCTTGGCTCTTCGTACAGGAGCATACGCGTGGCTGTGCGTGAAATGTAGCCAAGGAGTATTTCATCAATCAAAGGAAAGCAGTATTCAGCCGGCTCGAATCTAACTAGCTCTGGACAAGGGACGAAACGAAAAGGAGTACGGAGTACGAGACTGGTCGATTGGACCTCCCAACCATCACGTGGAGGACAAGCCATCAAAACAGTCATAAGGTAACCTTTCCGTCTTCGTTTGCTGGGAAGTTCATCACTTCCTTTTCTCTCTCTGAGTTTCAGATCTGCGCGCAAAATCGTTTTAGGCAAGGCTTTTGTCTTTCTTTCCTTTTTCCGCTACTCTAATCGCCTCTTGCTACAATCTCTTCTCTAAGCTTCAAGATGCCCGGTGTCCGTATGTGAACCAAGCTCCGCTAGCTCTCTCCTAAGCTGCTGTCTGACCTGATTATCAGCTCCTGATGCTCTTCAGCAATTGAAGAAGGGCTTGAAAGCCATTTTCTCCCGCAGAAAGAAGAAGGCTCAGAACAAACAAACTGAGCCTGCCCCAGCTGCGGACAAACCTGTAGAACAGCCAGCAACCGCCCCCGCCGCCGGCGCTGCGGCTGCGGCCGCTGTACCTGCCACGGAAACCAAGCCAGCAGAGCCAGCACCTGCTACCGAACCTAAGCCTGGTACGTTGTTCCTTTATATGTTGCTTCATCCAGCCCAGTCGCCCAATGTCACACGAAATTAATACTCTGCAGAACAAGCAGCCGTAGCAGATAAGTCAGCAGAGGCGGCAACACAACCCACCGAGACGCAGCCCGGGTCCTCTACTACAGCAGTTCCCGAAGCGAAGACTGAGACACCAGCCCCCGAGACGAAGACAGAGGCTCCTGCTCCCGAGCCCACGACAGCCGCTACTGCTGCTGCTCCCGCTGTTCCGGAGACAACTACTTCCGCGGCTGCTCCGGCGGAAACTGCCCCTGCTGCTCCAGCCCCAGCTGCTGAGCCAACGCCTGCTCAGCCAGCTGCTGAAAAGCCCGCTGAGACCGCGGAGCCGCCCAAGAGTGGATAACTGGATCTCGGGAAATTCAGGTCGAATATGCTGACCAAATTAGCCGAGGAAGCCAAGTAATTGTTTGCCTTGCGCCAGACATCATTTTTGAACGAAATCTCCTAACAGTCCCTCTTAATTCGATCTTTACTCTGCTCCTTCAGGTTGTCACAGTAGCGGGCAGTTGCCGCATAATACCCGAATGTTCCTTTTGTTGAGTTGATCGTCTTTTATCGTCGTCGTCGTCGTTGTCGTTGCCGTTGCCGTGTTTGCGTCGCATAATATACCCCTCGTTTCGTTATATCTTCCTCGGTCAATAATTAGAGCAATATAGCTTGCTTGATGACCAGTGTCATCTTAGTGCTCTCACTATTGTAATGATGGTAGACCATCGCAGTTCGGTGAATTGCAAGTTAACCATAGGGTATCACAAATGCACACAGCAGTCCGTTAACAGTACTTTCAATCGCTCGCATCAGAAGCATCTTTCATCTCCACTTCGGCGACATCTTGACTTTGTCCCGATGAGGCTGCAGCTGCAGCTTTCAATTCTCGTGCTTTCTGTCTCCGTTTGAGTTTCCTCTCCCGATTCTTGCGATTTCGCTTCTCGGCCTCCCTCTGCTTCTCTTCCTCTGCCGCCTTTGTTCGCTTCCGCAACTGGATACGTCGCTTCTTGCCGGGCTTCTTTCGAGACTTGGGGTCTCTTGTCGGAGGGTTCGTAACGCAAATAGTCGCGACTGCAGTTGGATCTGCAGATGCAGGAGGTAACGTGGTATGCTGCCGCTTGAGGTGTATCACCCGCCATGGTAGATGGCATCCGGGCTGCGAGAAACAAAAAATCAGCAAATTATATCAAACCCAAGTGAGTCGAGGGAAAGGCCAACACATACCCAGGATACCTCCGACCACCCCAGCATCTGCTGCCCGGTCACAGCGACTTCCTCGAACTGCTTCCTCCTGATGGTCGAAGCCGAAGCCGAATCCTGTTTCGCACCGGACCCAGAAAGCAACTCCGGGGTCGTAAAGTAATACTGCCACCCTCGGAAGGGATTGAGAAATCGCCCCTCCCCATCCACCGCGCCAGGTGTCGGCGAGCGTAACCGAATCCTCAATTTTTGAGTACCCCCGCTTACTGCTTTCTCTCCGCCTTCCGTTGCAGGCGTCTTCTCGTCCTTGGTTGTAGCTTTTGGCGCAGCAGGTGCGCTAAATAAACGGAACTCGAATTCCTGCTCCTCATCTTCTTGCTGGTGGCCGTCTTCCTGTGGTCCGGGTGCTGGAGCGGTGGATTCCGCGGGCGCTATCAATGCATCAAGGTTGAGGAGCGCGCCCAACCGTTGATGGACGTCTTGGAACGACGAGTCCAGCTGGGGTGAAGGTGATCGTGAAGTTGAATCTCGCGAGAGGAGTTCATCGCGACGAACGCTGTAGAGCAGGCTCAAAATCAGTCATAAGTACGGACAGCTTGAGTTGGATCACGGTACCGTTTTGCGTCTGGGAGGTCGAACATATTGATAGATTTGTGAGTATCTATATGAAGGTCTAGGTCATTGAAAATTAAGTTGGCCTCTTTTGCTTGCCCGGCGATTGTGTTGGTCGAGGATGCTCCATCGTGCGGAGCGAAATGCTGATTCCGAAAATTGTGAAATGGTTTTATTCCACGCACGGGCATCGCTACGGCCACGTTTCCGGGGATCTGCAAGTGCATCAAGCCAACCCAACATCGACTTCCTTTCGTTCCTGGCAGCTGTATGGCTTCGCATTACTCCGTATTTATCGAGAGTTCGACTGCTCTCATAAAGCGTTGACACTTCTCTTGCTTAGGCTTTAAGTCAATTACTCATCTCGTTCTGCTCACGCTCGCGAAGATGTACTATGTTCAGAGGAGTACAGCAGCATGTGGTCATTCATCAAACTGAATAACTGTTGGAGGGAGTGGCCAGCTAAACTATGGTTGATATTCTTGGTCTCATTCTTTAATAGAATCTTGAGAAGTTGAAGGATAGTTGCCTACTTCTGGAAAGAAACATAGCTTTAGCTTGAATGTATCGTTCATTACTCTGTATGATCCAGAAACTGATATATATATAACGGCTTGTCTCCAGCCACCTTTACTTTCTCCTTCCCTGACCACTAAAGTTATGGGTGGAACTTTGCTGAGGCAGACCATCGACTACAAAGCCTATATGCGCCATTCAACATGAATACACAAACTGTTAAAGGGAAAATTACACGTCACCCTAAGAGCAATTGGTCGCAGAGTCATGTATAGGGCGCTAACCCAGGTATCGGTGAGACTCGTCACTGCGATGAAATGGAAATTATAACGACAGCTTTTGCGACCTGGCTGGACTGAACTGGCTTGAGAGCGATTAAGATGGCGAAGTTTTTAGTTCTGTTGAGTGAAATACACTAGATTGCGGGCAGCTCTGTTGGAACAATCTATTCTTCCCACATAGGTCCGCCGTGGAATTTGCTGTATATATATATATGGTTAAACACAACGACCACCGTCCACCTGAATCCGTTAGTGCTGACCTAAAGCAAGCGAGGTCGATACCTACCTCCAAGTTCACGCCCGTGATGAACTCCGCTTCATCACTCGCCAGAAAGCAACAGGTGTTCGCAACATCCCGAGGAGTACTGGGCCGACCCAGCGGCACAGTTGAAACAAAAGCAGCGCGGTTTTCTTCTGTATCTGGCTTACCAAGGAATAGATGTGTCCTAAAGACGTCGCAAGTTGTGTCACTTTCAAGTCTTCGCATCAGCGGTGCGCAGCTTTACACTTACATCCCTGTACTGCCAACGACAGGACAGACACAATTAAAACGAATCTGCTTGGGCCCATACTCGACAGCCATCGTCTTGGTCGCATTGCTTACAGCTGCCTTTGAAGCATTATACCATGTCAAGCCTGGACGAGGACGCAGTGCAGCCGTCGATGAGATCTGGATAAATGACCCCGGCCGGTTATTCTCAAGGAAGTAAGGCACTATGACACTCGTGGACAGATAGATCGATTTGATATTGACATTCATACACAGGTCAAAATCCGCATCGGTGACTTGGACGGTGGGCTTATTGCTATAGGTCGCACCAGCATTATTGACGACAATGTCGAGCTTCCCATATGCATCCAGTGTTGCCTGCAGCAATTCCTGCCAGGACTCCCGCCTCGTCACATCGGTGAGGACGAACTTGCAGTTCAGCTCGGCTGCCGCTTTCTCTCCGCTTTGTTGCGACAGCTCTGCGATGATGACATTGGCGCCTTCCTCGACGAACTTCTTTGCGATGCCGTAGCCAAAGCCTGATCCGGCGCCCGTCACAATGGCAACCTTTCCTTCGAGCCGTCCGGGCATGATTGATATATTAGATGAGTCGTGTGGTGACTATATATGAACACGCTTGAAGGAGACTAGAAGATAATTATATGTGAAAGAGTCTGAGCTGTTCATGGAGGGGCATTATGATGCGGGGTCCACCATAAGTAAGAGGAGACACAACAACAGAGGGGACAGGGTTGTAGCGCCTTTCCGTACGAGTCTAGATCATTCGCAGTCAGAATATGATGATGAGTGGCTCCATTTCTTGATTTAGTTCACAAAAAGGAGTGATCGTCTGCTCTGTCGAAAAGACCCATTTTCATGGCCAGTGTGACTGGGCTGCAAGATCCCGAGAAAATAAGGCAACAGGAAGGGCCTTGTCAAAGTCTAAGGAACTAGATTGACAGAATAATTGACAGATAAGGAAAGACAAGCTTGCTATCATTGTGTGGTTAACTCGAGTAGTAGACAATCAGACATCTCAGGCTCCGCTAGTGATGCTTGATGGAGCCTGAAAAGCATGAATATAGATCCGAAGCATATAGATAGTCGAATTATAAAGATGTTTATTATCGATAGAACAGTTTCTTATCAGGTCTTTAGCCTAGTGAAGGAATGCGATGGTATTCCAAATATCAAGGAATGTAGGCAGTTGAAGAATGAGCCCGATCTGGGGTTCAATGTCATAGAGGCGCACGGACCAATCGAAAACACCGGATTCCTTCACGAATCCAGTCGATGGCGGGTGGTCGTGCGACTCCGGACAGTTCTCTATATCTAACCTTCCCAGCATCACCCGTCGGTTTCCTGCGGCGGCTGATATTTGTACTTTGATATTCTTGCATTCCTTGCATTATCTTTCCCGTCATTCGATATTCGTTACACCTCGATCGTTCCGTTGCGAAGCCCGTGCGACTATTCCATTACCCAACACTCGAGACTCGATTACCGCTCTATAATACATCAGGATCAATGGGCGTCTGTGCTTCTTGCCTTGGGCTAAATCGCCGGGAAAGCCATGATGTATGTATTTATGATTAAGCGCCAAACAGCGAAATGGACGATGCCGCCGCAGTCGCATGATGCGGCTGATCATAGCCATTACCAATCCCCGACCTCAAACAGGCATACTAACAGTCCGGATCTCTAGGCCGAGTCCTCGCGCCTACTAGACGACGATATCTACCAGTCCGGCTACGGCTATGGAGCCCTTAACCACGCGAACCAGATCAACAACCCCGATCCAGAGAACATAAAGCGCGAACGAGAAGCCCTCGAAGCAATCTGCCAGCGAACCTCAGAGTGAGTAGTTACCTGCTGCTTCCTCGCCTCCAAGCCGGCCACCTACCACCGACCTGCCGAACAAGAAGCTAATCCAGACACCTAGGTCCGTCATCGACATCTGGTCCCTCCAACCGCAACCCCATCTCCAACCACGCGCGACACTACACGGCTCAGTGGCGTCAAAAGCAAGTTCGAGCAGCGACGTCCCCGTCAAAATAATCACAGCCGACCTCTCGAAGTCATCGACATCGTCCAAGTCTGGCACCGCACATGACGGCACCGCCTGTAAGCACTGGGGAGAGGTGGTCATCAACCCGAGAAAAGGGAAGAAGCCCCGGCCGGGTCTGAACACAGATGAGACGAACGGCCGAGATGTCTTTGGTGTTTTGAAGGTGACGTGAAACGTACGGGTGGCGGGGAGACGATCTCACGTTGATGCACTGCATCCTTTTTTCTTCGTACTACTGGGTCGCCGGCCGACGGTTGTTTTCTACTTTCTTCGCTTCGCGGACTTCGACTCTTTCCCTTCTCTGTCGGGTGTTTTCGGCCTGTCCTTCTTTTCTTTCAGCTCCCGTCGCTTGATGACGTTTAATACCCTCTTGCGCCTTTCGATCCTCTCTTACTATTACTGCACTTATCAGGTATACATTTCCTTTGTGTTGCATATTCACCATGTTTGGGTAGATTCCTTGTTCTTGACACTCCTCATATCAAGAGGCAGTATCATGTTATTAGATAGTGACATAGCTAATGGGCATGTCTGTGCGCGCACAACACTATGAGTGGATCCCTAGTCTCGAGTAATATCTCCATCTTCAAAATAATCTTATTGCAGTTCTCGCAGAGGCGGAGACTGTATAAATCATCTTGGCTTATCAACATGCATATACTACTAGATGCTGAAAGGAACCATGAGTACAGAGGAAGAGGGTAATCCAGATGCACACAACGTCGGAGAGCAAACAGTTCGCCAACATCAGTCGATTGCTAAGCAGCAAATCGTGACCTGGACCTTGGCTCGGGAGCTGCAAACCTCAGTAGCGTCTTAAAAATCAGTAGTAACTCCGCCAGTAACGCCCGCCAGCCTTGTTCCGATAGAATAACAGGTGAATATAGGAAATAGATGGCATAATGCAACAGAATGCGCACCAGGTTCGAGCAACCGACCAAGATTCCGACGGTTGATCTACACGTCATCCATCGTGCCAGCCGGCTCCTCACCACCAGATTCGTAACTTCCAGCCGAGCTTAGTTCATCTTCGGACTCTGTATCCTCTCCGGCTTCATCAACGGCCTCTTTGCTAGCATACTTGGCCACGTATTCTGCCAATCCAATCAGTAAGTGCTGTCCTGAGCCGATGACTGCAACACACACCTTTTACTTTGGCCTCGTAACTCTTGGGTTCCCTCATTAACATCGCAGCAGCCTCGCCGTTGAGAGGGTCTGAAGGGTTTGGATACCGCAGGAGCTGAGGGAGGAAAACCTCGAAAATATTGATCATATCGTACATTGGCGACCAGGTTTGGTTGATGACATCAAGACACACTGAGCCAGATCTGCGAAAAATGAGAGGGTTAACGGCGAACTTTGAGTGATAGCTGGGATGCCTCACAATTCATCGATATTCGGGTGGAAGATCCGGTTTACGAAACCAATGCTAGGACTCTTGTAGGGATATTGATCGGGCAACTCGACGTGAATCTTCCAGTGACCGCCAGCGAACGGTGCTATTATTGGTCAGTAGATGCGGAGTTTGTGAGGGAAGTGGCAAGACGCACTTTCTTCGGGGCCCTTGAAGCGCACGTAAAATTCTTGCCTGTCCGAAAATAATCAAGTCAATAATCTGCGTCGATAGATGGTTGGTGATGGATGTCTAGGAATAGCAGCATACACTATCCTGATGTCAGTAGTGCACTCCAGCGAAATAAGCCCATATTACCCACTATTGTCATTAACCAAAGTCACCTCGTAGTCACTCATCAACCTGAAAACATATCAGCAAGGTCCAAGAGCCGACAGGAAGTTGAAAATCGTTCGCTGGAATCTGGGAGCATATGTGACTTCCAGAAGGCAGGGTCAATGGACACTCAAGAGGGGTGTGGCATACATCCTGCCATTCGGTTAGCATTTGTTCGCTGAATTGTCTTCAAGAGGGATCTTAGCATACTTCATGACCTATACAAAGAGAACAAGGCGACGTTGTCAGCGTTTGCTCATTTGTGAACCATGTCCTTCAAGAAAACCTCGGATTGAACTCACGTCGGTCTCGATTCTTCGCTTTGGGCTGCTCATTTTGAAAACTTGCAGACTGCTATAGCCTTATATCCTTTGATATCCAAAGATGAATTGTAAGAAAAGGGTAAATCGCTTGAAGGCGATTGAGTACTTTGAGAGAGTCGTGCCCGAAGGGTTCTCCAAGACCGGAGCGGGGAAGCAATGAGCGGGGGCGAGATAACGAAGCACGGCGCGCGATCAAAGAAAGACTTGACGCAAAGTACCACAAAGACCGGGAAGGACGAAGATCCTTGAGAAAAGACAGTAGTACTAGAATCCCAAGGCAGTACAACGGAAGCAGGAGGTGTTGGTCAAGGAGATATAAGTAACAGAGGTGGCACGGAGAAATGGGGAACCAGTCACTTAAGGTACAGAGAAGACTAGTACTAGTAACTTATAGCCGTCAGGCGAACTCAGAAATGATTATCGAGTGATGGCACCATTTGGTTGGGCAGTCATGTGGCCCGGGATGACTCAGCGAGGGGTCTGCTGTATTTTCTCATGTGCTTTACCAGATCTCGTCCTTTTCTCTCCCTATTCTCTCTCTGGGTAGATATTATTGTGCTTTGGATTCCTTCAACCGCAATGATCTATTCTTTTAGAACGGAATGGATGGCTACTTGGTTTGCCAGCGTGATATATCTGTAGATAGGCTAGCGTCATCAACCGGCCTTTCAGTGGAGCATCGACTAGCTTTCAGGTTTATTAGTCATCGATAACAAAAGTCACTACGTCAGTAGTTGGTGCTTGTGATCCGTCCAGAATCGGGTGGCATCCATCTCAACCGTCAATGTTGTACACTACTCCACTGCACCTCAGAAATCAAGTTGAAGGAATTGAGATGTTATTGCTTGGTCGAGATCCATATTGTTTCTCATGGTATTTCATGCTACGCTGTTGGTAGTGTGCCTGAGCCATGTTGATCGGACCGAACCCAACTAGTGCTGTAACGAACTACCTAGAGCTACCTAAGGTACAAATTAGCTCGTAGATCCACCGAACAAAACTGTCCCAACTGCAACAACAACCTCCTGTAAACCTTTCATCATCGCACGTTCATCTACGGACTGCAAGTGATAGCCTCATCCCCAGCGCATACCCCCAGCATATACCACAAAATGGACTCTCCATCACCAGAAAACACTTCGAGGACAAATTCACCAAATCCAAAATCCCCACAAATAACGGGCAGCAGACTCAGTCATCGACCTGCTAGCAGCCAAAGACCCGATTTAGATTCAAATACCAGAAGCACCCCTATCCCGGATGATGAGCATGGAGCAGATTTACCAATGACCATGTCCGCCTCGGTAGTTCTTAGCAGCCTACCGCGCGATGCGCATCGAGCTTTGGCGGATGCGGAGGCTGTCGATACAGGAAAAGGTAAGTAATATGCGTCTGGATATCTCGCTGAAAGTTTGCGTCCTAGTCTAACTCTGAATAGTGACTGTTCGCTTTCAGCCTCTTCCTTCAGCCCCTATTCTGAAGAATCGGGTTTTCAAGATCAGTGCGTCGCAGAAGTTTGAAACAGTTGTCAAATTCCTCAGGAAGAAGCTCGACTGCAAAGACACAGATTCTGTCTTTTGCTATGTCAACAGCGTCTTTGCTCCGGGCCTGGATGAAGGTGTTGGAGGTTTATGGAGAGTGAGTATTCCTGCTACAGGCGTTTCCCGAGTTGAAAGTATAGGCTAAAGACTTTCGTAGTGTTTCAAGACAGATGATCAATTGATTGTCTCGTACTCTATGACGCCGGCATTCGGCTAATAAACCAGATGCACGTATTGCAATACAACATGCAGACATGAGAAAAACAGATGGGTCCACTTCGGGTAAATTTTCGAGATGCAAAAGACAAAGCCGCCACCGCAAATGATTCCATTAATGGTCATAATCATCACAAAACATGGTATCCTCCAAGCCCACAATGCCAAGAATTGACATGGTAAGGGCAAGACACGAAGCGCTGGAAACTGAAGAAACATCGAAGAGAATGATCATTGAGAACATTTTTTGGATCTCAAAAACTAGGAGCGCTTGATCACATCAGCAGCCTTTTCAAATTCCGCAAGTTCCTCCTTGGCGATCGGATAAGTGTACTCCTGCGAAGGGTACGCGCGACTCTTGACCTCCTCTCTGTACTGTTCGATTCCTTTGATGGTCTCACCCCAAACATCGGCGTATCTCTTGACGAACTTGGGTAGGAAACGACCAGGAGGATAGTTGCCAGTCATATCAATCTGCACCAGGACCTGCCCGGAACAGCCGTTACCTGCCCCGATACCAATGGTGGGCACAGAGAGCTTCTTAGTGATGATCGCAGCAATCTCAGCCGGTACCGCTTCGACTACAACCATGAATGCGCCAGCCTCTTGCACAGCCAAAGCGTCTTTGAGCAACCGTAACGCACCGGCTGTCGACTTTCCCTGGACTCTGAAGCCTCCCAGAGCATTCTGGCGTTGAGGGGTGAGTCCGATGTGTCCCACAACAGGGATTCCAGCCTGAACAATACGCTTAATGGTCGGCGCCATCTCCTCGCCTCCCTCAAGTTTCACAGACTGTACGCGACCTTCCTTCACAATGCGAATGGCCGATTGCACAGCCTGCTCCGGCGACACTTCATACGAGCCCATGGGGAGATCTGCAACCTATAAATATCCGTCAGTCAGCCAAGCCTCGAACAGAAACCACACCCCGACAAGCTTTACGAACCGTGAAAGCGCTTTTAGCTGCGCGCGCTACACTCCGACAATGCAGCAACATCTCGTCCATTAACACCTCGCTCGTGTCCTCCATCCCAAGGGCGACCATGGCCAGACTGTCCCCGACCAAGATCATCTCCATCCCAGCTGCGTCAGCGACATGGCCGCTCGGAAAGTCATGCGCGGTGAGCATTGTGATCGGTTCTCCCTTCTTGTAGAGACTCCGTAAGGTCTGCATCGTCACCTTTTTCCGGGGGTTCACCGGTGCCGCCCCCAGCGGCGAGTGGGAACTATATCGAACCTGAGGCGTGCATGGTGGGGGAACATGACGGGCTGGGGTGTAGCTACCAGGAAGGACTAAAGGGACGACAGGAGATGGACCAGGCCGCGCCACAACGCCCCTGGCAAGCGATCGTAAGGGCAGCGTCAGCTGGATCGCTGTCCGGGACGAAGCCATAACTGTGATAGTATGAAGTGTATGTCGAGTCTCCAAGAGATAAAGATCATAAAGGGTTGAAGTGTGGGGAAGGGGCAAAGACCTGCCGCGCCGTTGGTATAAACGTCGGCACAATGGCGTCACTACCCGAGAAGGAAAGTGTAAAGTACAAGGCTCGATCTTATCAAAAGTACCTTCAAATGCAAACTATCTTGGTTCGAAAGAAATAATAACTCTGTACTGCATTTAAGAGCGACTGATGAGAAAAGAGACAACAATACCTCGTCCCATGATTCTTCGTCGAGAGTTATATACTCCCGGACGTGCTGGTTTATGCAGCGTAGCCTGTAGCATCCGACGAGTTCAATCGCGCGTGCTACACTTTTTTTTTACCTTAATGGTTCCATTCTGCCGGATGTTTACCTAGTAGGGCATTCCTTGGTGCTTTGGTGGGTGTATTTCTGTACTGTTATTGGTCGATCGGTGGTAAAGTGGATTGACCTTCTCCGCCGGCGCTTTGACTTTTTCCGGTCCGAGATGTCATGCAGCCGAGGCTCGGATATAGCCGTTTACTCCAGGGCCTCCAGGCAGTAGTACTGAAGTGTACGATGTACAAAGCAGGACGAGTTGTGGAAATAAGTTATTTGATTATTTTGGTGGCTAGAATCAGTGGCCATGACAACTGAGAATGAGCCACATGGGGAAAATAACCAGACATGCCACGGAACGGAAAAAAGACGAAGCCACCTAGATATGCATTCAGCCTTATGCAACCCACCAACCCACCCCTTAACATCCGCCGGTGAAAATGCTCGAGGACAAAAGAAGAGAAGAAGAAGAAGAATACGATGAAAACAAGGACCTTGATGAATTAGTCATCCCAACCTTCGAGCATCTTCTGCATACATCGGGGCATAGTACACGCATGCAACATGCTGAACGGATTCCGCGTCGCCAACCTCCAAATATGTAATTTGTTCGTTTTCCGTCTCGCTTTCTTCATTCCGGATATAGTATGCAAAAGTGGTCGCTTAAAGGCCGTGACGCGCTTTTGGCTCGTGAAGTCCTTGCTGCGACATCGAAACCTCGCGAGAAATCCAACGGACGCCGGCTGTATGATAATATGGTAACCTGGTAGATATGAAAATACAATGGACCGCCGAGCGGTAAAAGCTGTAAACATGAGTGAGAAAATATGAAAAGTGAGATCGTCGTAAAGTCGGGGACGGCAATGAACGAATGATGCGATGCGTGTGCATATCGCCGCTTGTGTACTCAAATTTGGCACTGCGAGAGGAGTTAATGAAGTTGAGCTGAGCCCACAATAACTGAGTTCTTCTTGACCAGGTCGCTTGCTCGGAGGTACTATTACCGAGCCGCGCAGAAGAAACACATGGGCACGCATCCGCTAGATCAGGGAGTGACTGAATCTTCGTAGTCGTACTCGTCCTTCAGAGGCCTCTGCAGCTCCTCAAGCAGTGCATCTAGTTCAGCCCAGTTCGCCTTATTGGTTGCGATTTTGCGATGCTTTCTTGTCAAGATGTGCTAGACAAAAGATTAGCCTCTGTCAATTCCTTTCTACATGAACGATTCTTACATCCTCAAAGTCATCGAACTTGTCCCTGCAATTCTCGCAGTATCCAGGCTTAGGGTCTCTCCTTCTTTCCTTCTTCTTTGGAACTGGGGCTTTTCGAAGACCAGTCGGCCGCTTAGTCACACCGTTCCCTTCGGATTGAGTAGTGTCCTCTTCTTGCACCTGTCCCAGCTTCTCCTGCGTGTTCGCCTGGCAGAGTTTGTTCGATTGGTAGTTTGACATCTTTAGGGTGGCCGAGGTAGACGTGGTGGGATGGGGAGACAGCATGGTGCCGGTTGACAAACCGCCGTTGCTCTTCTCGAGTACCTTTCTCTTCAACTCATGAACTTCTTTGCTCAACCCAGCTTTGGCACCAGGCGCAGCGGCGGTGGAGGAAACCATCTGCGACCGAATAGCAGACGTGATATTTGATGGCTGCATACCCGATGCGGCAGGTTCACGACCAGCATAAAATGGTCCTGTCCGGTGGAGTGGAGGGGGAATGAAACTCTCGGAGCTTTTCCTTGGTGATTCTGGTTTGGCCTGCAATGGCACCTGTATGTCTTCCGGCGTCGTCCGCTGTGCTGGTTCGAAACCATTATCGCCAGTTTTTGTCTCATTCGACGGGTCCAGTTTGTCTATGTTCACGGGGCGTAGATTCGGCGCGTCAAACTTAGGTACCTCTTTAATCGCAGGAGCTTTCGGGGCAATTTTCTTCTCCTTCTCTTGTTGGCGTGCTCGTTGCCTTTCAATCTCTTTCTTGCTGGGAGGTTCGTCGATGAAAGGGCATTTCCCCAGCGGGGCGCTTCTGAATTGTGGCCAGATACCATCCTGCCTCCTTGCAACTTTGGGATATTCTCGCACCATGACAGGCTTGGTCTTTTCATCCATATCGTGGATGTAGATGAACGGCCCTTTGAACAACACTAGCTCCTTTAATGACGACAGAGGGTCCCTGTCCGAAGGACCATTGATGAGCTCCTTCCGTAAGACCTGTGACAGGTCTGACTCGCCGCGGGCCTTAGTGTTCCCACCAACAGCATTATGGTTGCGCGAATGACCATTGTGACCACCGGGATCCCCATCATTGATAGCAGCAATCATACGTTGTAACTTCTCAAGAGCCCATATCTTCATTTTCATCCGACGAGCCCGGTATAAAACATCCATATTGCTTGGCTCACGTCTCTGGTCCGTCTTCAATGACATATGGAGGTGTGTGTCTGCAGTTTTCTCAAGCAACGACGGGTTGACGGTGTCAACCGGTGTATGATCAGCAGATGTAGCGTTCAACTCTGCAGGGGTCACAGTATCTATTTCAGGCGGGATAGGACGAGAGGTGACGACGTGGGTAACATCACGCGAGAAGAATTTTTCCTCGCTCTATAAACTTCAGTCAGCCATTTCTTTATTCCTCCATTGCATATGAACAGCAGACGACCAATACCAGGAAAGGGACTAGCGTGTTGAGAAAGAACGAGTCATTATCGGATGAAAAGGTTGAAGGGACACTTACAGCTCCGAGGGCAGTGACCTGCCTCGAGCACTTGGCACGAACATCCTCTGAAATAGCATCGAAGTAGAAGACGAAGTGTGGAAACGCCTTTCGGTAATGTCTCTGCCATTGCCGAATAGAATCCACCGATTCTGCGGATGGCCTCTCCTGTTTCGTTCCTTTGAGCAGAGCTTGCCGTTCCTTATCCCTTGCAGCCACCAATTTTTTTTCGAAGGCACTTGGCTGTGCGTTGGTCGAACGCCGTGTGAAGAGTTTCGAATCGGTGGTGCTCGATTTAACCCGGGCTGGGGAACGCGACTCCTGGTCCAATCCATCGATCACCTGCTTCTTGGGAGGAGGCTGGCCGTAGGGTATATCAATCGGAGGATTCGTTGTCCGAGGACGCTTTGCAGGGACAAGACCCGCCCTGTGAGGGGAATTGGTAGCATTCGGCACGTTGGCGAGAGGTCGGCGAGTTGACATATTAAGGGAGTTCTGAGGCGAAGGTGGTATGAATACTGTTGCCATATGGTAACAATACACGAGCGCTTTTTGTCGTAGCTGAACGCGGGAAGTCGAGGTGCCAGCACAAGAGGGGCACTCTAGGCTGAGCACACGACTAGCTACACGTCACGAAGGGCAAAGTCTTCAATTAAAGAGAAGCCATTGTACGTGTGATAGAGAGCAATGGGCAAGGAACGTGCAGTAGAAGAAGGATACGAGGCGAATACCTCGAGTCTGTATAGGAGGATAATCCAGTCCGGAGACTTCTTAGGAGGTTGGACGTCGGATGACAGGGAGAGCAGTAGTTGGAATAAAAAGTAGGTAGTATGTAAGGTGAAGCAGAGTAGTAGGTAAGGCAGGCCAGTACGTAGATAAGTCGACCGAGAAGAGCAGCGAAGCAGGGTAGGACTAAGCGTGTGAGGAAGCCCGGTGGAGACGGGTTTGTTTTGGCCGATGGGGATGTGTGCCAAACAACCAAAGACCGTCGCGCGATGCTATCAGGCCCTTTACAGGACTAGTAGTACCTAGGGACGTACTCCGTACTACGAATGTGCATAGAACATTCTTTACATTATAAATTCTAGCAATTTTGATTCCAGCCACCGCGCCTTCAAGAGAATTGACACGATCAGTCCGTTTCTTGTTATTTAATCAGGTTTTCTCCTCCGAAGTTGTGTTCTGACCGAATTACTCAACGCGTCAATTCGATCGTACCAAATGGTACATTGAATTTTACCGATCAAGCCCTTGACGGTTCATTGTTTGTTTGTTTTCACGGTTGACCCTACTACAGTATTTACACCAAAACGTCTTTCGTCTGTGGATGCACATCTCAAGTTAATTTGTATTGTACAGTCACGAATGAAAGGGTATCTATATACTACAGCAGGTTATTTCATCTAGTCCCGAAGCGCCTCGATATCATCAACCTATTCAACAATCTATATCAGTGGTCGTCCTTGGAGAAAGAGTACAACCTGAAAGATTGTCTTTTGAGTTTGTCTAAAGTGAATTGAATCAGAACTCACCTCTTTCACTGCCTCTGTGGTCAAGACAATCGGGTTATCATCACCAACGCAAACACTGTCTTCGATACGGATCCCGATGCCTCGGAACTTCTCTGGCCATCTATCACTGTCCGGAACGTATATTCCACTGGGAAGGTGAATTAGAAATGTGTCGATAGTGAGACTGGAAGAATACTTACGGTTCGATGGTGATGCACTGGCCTGCTTTGAGATTCTGGCTCCGAGGATATCCGGAACAATCATGAACATCTAACCCAATGTAGTGTCCCAGATGATGAGGGAAAAGCATGCCCATTGCCTATTCGAGACAAACACGGATCAGCTTGACGAATGTGGGCAGACGCTTGACATCAAATCGACTTACACTGCCTGAAACATCAAATCCGAGTTGCTGCAACTGATCCTTTAGACCGTTCTCAGCAATACTGTGCAATTTGTCCAACGAAAGTCCGGCGCTCTCTCTGCAGAGTGAGACGCAACTGCGGTGCACATTCAACACTGCATTGTATAGGTCGCGCTGAGGGTCGGAGAACTTGCCATTAACCGGCCAAGTTCGAGTGATATCGGATATGTACGTGCCCCATTCCTGTAGTCTGTTAGTGTCACAGTTAATTTCCAGCATAGAGAAAGCACTGACCCCGCCCCCGTCGACAAGAACCATGTCACCATTCCTTTATCTCGTATTAGCCCAGATCCTCCGCCATTGTTAAAATGGGGTTTACCTCAAGACATCGTCATTTCTCGTATAGTGAATACTCAGAGCGTTCTGAACCTGTCAGCCTGGATAGGGGGAGACTAGGTTACGAGGTACTCACGGAGCCGCCTGCAACGACCGGGACAAAAGCACTTCCATCGCACCCGTTCACTTTGAAATTGTACTCCAGGAAGGAATTCAGGTCCTTCTCTTTTGTAAAGGCCTGCCTCATGGTTTCCGTAAAGGCTCGCCCCGATGCCTGCCCAACTCTGCGTAATTGGACGACCTCATCCTCACTTTTGAACACTCGCATCTCGTTTAAGATGTTACGCAAGGGCTTGACTTTGCGATAATCGACCATCTTCTTCAGCTTCTCGGATGCATTGGTGGGGCCGTATAAGAAACGATGCAAGGAGGATCTCCCGGGGTTAAAGGTGGGAATATCTGTGTAGATCTCTGTGGCCCCCGAAAGAATCGTTGGGAGAATATCCCCAATGCGATCAATATCACCCGTCTGCTCCAATAGTTAGCTAAGCTCTCCGTTACACTCCAAGCCAGTCTCCCAACCTCATCCGCGTTGAAGACGTCAATCGCCGCCTGTGTGCCGGAACGCGCTCCATCCCAGAGCTCAGCCTTCCGATCCTTTTCACGCACATAGAGGTGGAATATGTGATTGTCCCCAGATCCATCATTCGCTAGGCATTGTAAGCACTACTCTAGTCGCTCAATTGGTAAATTGGCCTCACCGATGATAGCTAGCGCATTGGGTTCATTGAAGCCTATTGATAAAACATCGAGTGAGCTGCTTGCTTTATTCTCGACTTATAATGAAAACATACCGGTAAGGTAGAAGAAATTGGAATCCTGGCGATAATTGTTGAAGATGCCAGTAGCGCGGTAAGTAACTTCCGAGGCAGCTAACACGGCAATTGCATTCTTAGGAAGCTTGTTCGCAAGGCGGGAGCGACGTTGGGCGTATTCGAGAGCCGTGATACCAGGAGTCACTGGTTTCAAGTCAACATACTCATTCTTTGTTGTGTCAAAATCGCCTTCCAATGGGGAGCATATACACACGTTCTCCAGGATTCAATAAATGAGGATGCGTCTCGTGAAGCGGTTGCCCGAATTTAAGCTCCGTGGCGGAGATCGAAGCGTATGAACGGAGAAGGGACGGCTGCTTGCTCATGCGACAGCGTCGAAGCACTGGCCGGATTGAGGGGCTAGGTGCGACGAATGAGATGTGTCGGTGGAGATATCGAGGCCATCTCTGGGCAACGGCTTTGCATGTCGACATGCTTATCGAATGCCCTCAGAAGGTGAGGCGCCAAATTGTTGGATTAGTTTCGGTTTATCTCCAGCAAGCTCGAAGGCTATCGGAGCTCTTGATTCATGCCTTGATGCCTAAGGCTTTAAATATACTATCGGCGATGGCAACCAATAGCAATGCAGATGTTTGTTATTGGGTCCCGCAAGGACTTTCCTTTACGGGCGATGTCTTGCGATCCCGCCCCGCCTGTTTCTCGTGTTCATGTCCATGTTCAACCTCCCAGGATCGTTGTGACGATCTGATTTGTAAAAATCGTTGGAATCTTGATATATGGCATACATGGGTGCAGCAAGTAGCTCATTGCTCCATTGGTGCGCGAGCGCCGCATGATGGTAACCATCATTCTTGGGATCCCCAATGAATTATTCAACCTCTAGATATATAACTGCAAAATGCAAGGTCTGCATTGGAACAACATATCGCATGACTCACTCTACTGTTTGCAGCTCCTCTTAAGTCAAGCCGCAAGCGCTGATACTAGAGGAGAAGTCCGTTTCTGAGTTAGCTTTGGCATAAAACCTGCTTCGACAATACACGATGGGAAGAACACTCGCATATCCGAAGCGAGATGCGAACACGGTGAACAGGTACAAACATCGAGGTATGAGTGATCGAGATTATATTTTGATGGAGTGTACTGAGTTGTGGAATAAACCAGCAACGTATGACCTCAATGCTATTCACTCTATCATCAACTCAAGTCAAGTGCTCCATGTGTCGTTCAGTCCAGGGCCTCCGGATCCTTTTCCCGCCATATTGCCCATGATCGGTAAGATGGGCTCATTTGACTATCCATCGGCTGGACTTGATGAGCCTCTAGACTGCTATCTACATGGATATGTCAGTTCACGGATCATGAATCTAGCGAGGAAATCGGAAGGAGACGGATTGCCTGTCTGCATCGCTGCGAGTAGAGTAGACGGATTAATCCTGTCTCTTACACCCAATTCCCATAGCTACAACTACCGCTCCGCTATCCTTCACGGCTATGCTGGACTGGTCACGGACGAAGCAGAAAAACTCTGGGCGATGAAACTCATTACGAATTCAGTGGTGCCGGATCGCTGGGACCATACCCGAGTACCCCCAGACAATGCCGAGATGTCTTCCACCGTCATTCTTAAGGTCAAGATTGTCGACGGCAGTGGCAAGATTCGAGATGGCGGTGTCTCTGACGAGAGAAAGGACAAGAGCAACAACGATGTGACCAGTAGGGTCTGGACGGGCGTTGTGCCTGTCTATGAGGCGTTTGGAGACCCTGTTCCGAGCCCAGAGAACAAGGTTTCTGAAGTACCAGAGTACATCAGCTCATTCATTGCCGATATGAACAAGCACAATCGGGATTATGCTGTGACAGCAGTCAATGTTGGGCTTCCGGCGGAGGAGCAACATTGAATCTTGTCAAATTGCTCATCATCTGTCAAATAGCGAGCGTACGACTCTTCGAGTAAAGTAATTGTGGCACCTACCTTAGTCATTTAAAGATTTACTGTTCTGATTGTATGTTCTTCTGAGTATCTGCAAGTTGAGTCCCAGAATCGCACTCGCACCTATTTGCCAGTTGACAGCGGTTCCGCCCACTGGACTACCCCACTTGGAGTCGGACTACTAATCTTCTTGCTACCCCACGTCATTCCTACTCCGCATTAGGATGAGCAAGGGAAAAAGGACAGCTCAATCGTCAATTTTTACTATAGATATGAGCTTCACGCTCTGAATATAATTCAAACTGGCTTGCTAAAGAGTCATTTCTCCGTTCTTTTTTTTTGCGTCTTCATCTATGAAACAGCAGTTTAAGAGCCGTGACCTGAACATTATGGCCTCATCGGCAATACCAGCAGCTGATCTGCGATCGTTTACTGAATACTTGAAAGGGTGTAAACGCATACTGGCACTCTTAGGGGCTGGTATATCCGCATCTTCTGGACTCCCGACCTTTCGAGGAGCGGGTGGTCTTTGGCGATCTTATGATGCCACCGACTTGGCGACGCCTGAGGCGTTCGAGGCCAACCCGGACCTAGTATGGCAGTTTTACAGCTACCGAAGACACATGGCACTCAAAGCGAAGCCTAACCGCGCGCACTACGCCCTTGCAGAGCTTGCCAGGAGTAATAAGGATTTTATTACACTCACACAGAATGTTGATGGTACTGTCTCAACTGCATAATTTGGTGCTGGTGTAGCCTAGCTGAACAGAGCTGATGATTGTGCTCTTCGAAATAGGTCTTTCACAACGCGCAAATCATCCCTCGGACCAGCTCCACCTCCTCCACGGGTCTCTGTTCACGGTCAAATGTACCTCATTCTACTGCAACTATGTGCGCGAAAATGACTTTACCGATCCGATAGTCCCCGCGCTTGCCATACCGAAAGGTGTCCCGGACTTGAGTCCATCTGCTGAAGATAAGTCTGGCGAGGAGGCCTCGAGGGCGCTATTCAACGCATTAAGAATGGAGGAGGAGACGGAACTGGACATATCAGACGAGAACGTCCCGCTCCCTGCTTTGAGTCACGATGTCCTGCCACATTGTCCAGAGTGTAAAGAAGGGCTTTTGCGGCCAGGGGTGGTCTGGTTTGGAGAAAGTTTACCCCTACACACGCTCGAAATGGTGGACAATTGGCTAAATTCTGGTCCTGTGGATTTGATCCTGGTGATTGGAACAAGTTCAAGAGTCTACCCAGCTGCAGGCTATGTTGATAAGGCGCGTGCGAGAGGGGCCCGAGTCGCTGTGGTCAATATGGATCGCAACGATGTTGGGTATTCTGGTTTGAAAAAGGGTGATTGGTTCTTCCAAGGAGACGCAGGTGTTATAGTCCCGGAGATATTGAAGGGCGTCATTGGAGATACTTAGGGGACGTGGGGCTTCACGTTCTATTTTCTTGACGTTTAGCGAAGAGTATACAGAAGGCTAGGTTACATATTTTAACATTGGACTTCGGATTCCAAAAGAAACGTTGCAGAAAGATTCCATGTTTATAAATAGGAACGAGTGACGTTAAAGAAAATGGTGGGCTAAAAGAAAAGTCCGTAGCCGTAGCTCTGAAGCCGTTATCGGTCGAGAAATATTAGGCCATTATCGTTGAAATCTGGTCGTTATCGGGTTGTTTAACTTTATCGATAAGGATAGCCTCAGGCGCTAAGGCAGATGCACACGGTTGCTGGGGCAAAATCCCAAACAAAACGCTATCGATAATAATGTGGCATGTCGGCACTAACGACACGGATTTTTTACCACAAACAGCTCCACAAGAAGATCTAGCTTGTCAAAGGTCAAGCACGGGAGTGTTGATTTCTACTCAAGTCTAATTATTCGAGGCCAGTACCAGGCTATTATAGCTTGTCAAATACAACTAGCAGTGGCACTGAACATGAGCACCTAGCCTGCTAATACTCTCAAGTTGTCGGTTTCTCAACGCAAGATTGAAGCATCCACTGTACAGTACAGATGACACACTACTGAATCCGCTTCGATCTGCAATATCATACCTTGCCTTCACATCCCTTTCTGCCCCTCTTCAACACACCACCTGCCAAGGTGCCACCGCGAAAATCAATCATCCCAGACCGACTCAACAAGACATAGCCAGATGACAATTGCTTCTTACATCTGACGGACTTCAGAGAGACGTTCACAATTACCACGACGCAATGGCTAAAGAAAGCGACGCGCCGCCGTCCTACCCGATGACCCCTCGGCGGCCGAACGAGCACACCCAGCGTCCTCTCTCACAGCAACCTGAATTTGGGAAACCTTCTCCTCTCGGCCCATATCAACGTCCAAACCCGCCCCATCAGCAACAGTCGAACCATCCTTTCAATATCCCAAAGCCGAACCGGGCTCGACCTGAACATCACAGACCTGCACCGCAGTCAAGACCATACAATGCTCCTCACCCTAGTGTAAACCATCAGAGTCACAGACCAACTGGTGGCTCAAGTGGCCCTGTAGCATCCACACCGAAGCGTAGCGAGCCATTCGATCCTTTCAAGCCTGTTCGGCCTTCGGCCTATAACAACTACCGAAACTCGCGTCCGGTCAACAACGATGTTGTGGAGATTCGCCGTCCGGAGAATGTCACCTTCACCACCCCGCGAGCTCCCAAGACTTTCTATGCATCTTCAGCCATAAAAATGGACAAAGCATCCAAAAATCTCAGCAACTTCGTTGATCTTACCCGCGAAGGAGGGTTCACACCCAGCACTAGGCCTCGCAATACGGGGTTCGGGTCGATGGACGTCAACGGCTATGTTGATCCTGTCAAAGCCAACGAGAACATCAAAGCTCTGCTTGAAGGAGCTTTTACGGATGACGATGACAAGCAAGGATCAAAGGCAAAGAACCGGAAGAAGAGTAAGAACCGGAAGAAGAAGAAGAAGGCCAAGGAACAAAAGAAGCAGGGCACTTCGGAAATTGACGACCTAGCCGCTCAACTTGAAGGAGTTACCGTCAACGAGTCAAGCGCTGCTACTGAAAAGAGGGAACTGGATAAGCTGAAGGCAGAAGACAACATTGATAAAGCAGACAACGGCGAAACCAAGGACGACGAGAAGCCATCTGAAGATGAAGCCGAAGACGACGAGCATGGCTGTGAAGAGGATGATGAGGAAGTAGAAGAGGAGGAAGACGAGGAAGAAGATGATGGGACAGTCGAAGGCTTGAAAGTTAAGCTACTGCCTCACCAAAGGGAAGGAGTGAATTGGATGTGTGACAAAGAGAGAGGCTCAGGCAACGCCAAAGGACTGCTTCCCAAGGGTGGCATACTCGCAGACGATATGGGTCTGGGAAAGACTGTTCAAACCATCGCTCTGTTACTCACCAATCAGAAATCTTCGGACAAGTTCACGGCCGGCGCCTCCAAAACGAATGACAACAGCAGTGACGACCAAGGCAATGAGAAGGTGCGCAAGGTACCTCCTGGGCTAAGCAAGTCGACTCTTGTTGTTGCCCCATTGGCATTGATTAAACAGTGGGAGTCGGAAATAGCAACCAAGGTTGAGGACTCTCATAAGCTACGTGTTTGTGTCTACCACGGAAATACTCGCGCGAAAGCAACGGACAGCCTGGACACTTACGATGTGGTGATTACGACATATGGCACCTTAACCTCCGAGTATGGAGCTGTCGATAAGAATAAGAAGAAATCGGGACTTTTCTCTGTTTATTGGTACCGGATAGTCCTAGACGAAGCGCATACCATCAAGAATCGAAACGCCAAGGCAACGCAGTCTGCCTGTGCGCTTGATGCTGAATATAGATGGTGTCTGTCGGGAACACCAATGCAAAACAACTTGGATGAGCTTCAGAGTCTGATCAAATTTCTTCGGATCAAACCTTACAACGATCTTGCGGCTTGGAAGGATCAGATCACAAGGCCGTTGGCTAATGGACGTGGGGCCCTTGCGATTGAGCGCCTACAAGTCTATTTGAAGGCGTTCATGAAGCGGCGCACTAAGGACGTTTTGAAGCTGAATTCCGACCTCAAGCCCAGCGGCTCAGGTGCCGTCGGAGAGCAGAAGAAGTCGACCGGCTTCCAGATCACCAAACGGGAAGTCATCAAGGTAGCTGCAGAGTTCATGCCCGGCGAAATGAACTTTTATAAACGTCTCGAACAGCGAACAGAAAACAGCCTTGAGAAGATGATGGGTGGCTCCAGAGTCGATTATGCCGGTGCTTTGGTCTTACTGCTACGTCTACGACAATCATGCAACCATCCAGATCTGGTCAAGAGCGATCTTGCAAAGGACAAAGACATTCTCTTGCAGAATGGGACCTCTAGTAGCCAATCTAGCTCTGGAAGACAGGATGATCTCGATAGTATGGCTGATCTCTTTGGAGCTCTGAGCGTCGTTTCGAAAAAATGTGATGTTTGCCAGACAGAGCTGAGCAAGGAAGAAGTAAAGAGCAGTTCCAGCAGGTGTGGCGAGTGCGAGGCCGATCTAAAGGCTACGCTTGGTGGTATCGATTCAGGCAAGAAAAGGAGCTCTCACAAGCCGAGAATAGAGGTGGATCTTACCGACTCACCATCGAATAAATTCTCCGAAAGGCAGAAAGGTCGAGCTCGGAGAAACAGGAAGATTGTTATTGACAGCGACGACGAGGACGAAGACGATGGGGAGTGGATAGTCCCTGAGGGCCAACGCGGTTCGCCTAATCTTGGAAAAGCTGGTGGAACTGATGACGAAGATGCTGAAGGAGGAGGCGAATGGCTGAGTTCCGAGGACTCTGAGACTGATGAGGATGGTGGTCCTGAATCCCCAACACGGAAGTCTGCCATTGTTTCCAATTCGAGAAGAAGCCAGGGTTCGGAGTCGGACACCGATGAGGATATTTATCTGGATCCTGGTGACGATGAGACTCAAGTCCTGCCTTCCACCAAGATCCGGCATTTGATGA